CCATAGTATACCACCCCAGATGTCACCTGCAAGCTATTCAGCATTATATTACGTTCATTATACCAAAGACTACATTCCCAGAGGATATGATGAGCAGATTGTTCATAGTGAGAGTTAGGTGTTGAGCATTGACACAATGGTGACTCGACTAATTTAAATGAATACAACTTGCTCTTAAAGTTACCATGACCCGTAAGAAATTGAGCGACACTGATTTTGATATTGTGTACATACACACGGACATTGACGGGCCCGTTGGTCTAGTGGTTAGTGACCCTGACTGCTAAACCGGAGGTCCTGGGTTCGATTCCCACCCAGAACAAATATTTGTGTGATGAGCACGATCGTTTGTTCTGTGTCTGGGTGTAATTTATCTATATAATGTATGTATTTAGAAATATAAGTATGTTTATTTGCATATATATATACTTTAAAAAGTAAAAGATCTTCTTCAAAATGAGTTTGCAGAAAGGTGACTAAGACTATTTATTGTATGTGTATACTTGTGGATCTCTATAAATATATACGTGTGTAGCAATGAATATATTATTTTATTTGTGTAAATTACACCTTTTTTTTCCGTGCGGAAATCCCTTCGGATACCACCTATCGGTGGCATGTCGGACTCGAACCAACTAAAACCGCACGCCGTTTCGGGTACTAATAGCCGGGGAACCAGGTATACCCTAGAAAGGAAGTCCCTGTGTGTAAATTACACCTAGGTTAGATTTATCTCAACTTATTCAATTTAATACAAATAATGACAAATTTTCTATTTTATCTCTGCACCTACCGCATCATTTTTCTACATCACCCGAAGTTTGACTGGGAGAGAATGCCCTTTTTTTTTTTTTTTTTTTTTTCCGTGCGGAAATCCCCTCGGATACCACCTGTCGGTGGCATGTCTTACTCGAACCGACTAAAACCGCACGCCTTCGCCGGGTACTAATAGCCGGGGAACCAGGTATACCCTAGAAAGGAAGTCCCTGTGTGTAAATTACACCTAGGTTAGATTTATCTCAACTTATTCAATTTAATACAAATAATGACAAATTTTCTATTTTATCTCTGCACCTACCGCATCATTTTTCTACATCACCCGAAGTTTGACTGGGAGAGAATGCCCTTTTTTTTTTTTTTTTTTTTTCCGTGCGGAAATCCCCTCGGATACCACCTGTCGGTGGCATGTCTTACTCGAACCGACTAAAACCGCACGCCTTCGCCGGGTACTAATAGCCGGGGAACCAGGTATACCCTAGAAAGGAAGTCCCTGTGTGTAAATTACACCTAGGTTAGATTTATCTCAACTTATTCAATTTAATACAAATAATGACAAATTTTCTATTTTATCTCTGCACCTACCGCATCATTTTTCTACATCACCCGAAGTTTGACTGGGAGAGAATGCCCTTTTTTTTTTTTTTTTTTTTTTCCGTGCGGAAATCCCCTCGGATACCACCTGTCGGTGGCATGTCTTACTCGAACCGACTAAAACCGCACGCCTTCGCCGGGTACTAATAGCCGGGGAACCAGGTATACCCTAGAAAGGAAGGCCCTGGTGCCCCGACATACCTCGGGTCATCTACAGACGAGTAGACGACCCCCGCCCCGTGTGGGAACCCCATGTTCCCTGTGCTCCCTGGAAGCGAGCGCGCTTCGCAACGCGCTCGCCGCCACCCCGGCCTGCTTCTGCTAGGGTGACAGATGGCCTCACCTGTCACCCCCAGGCCTGCGCTTATGGAGGACGGAGGTCGTTCTGCGACCTCCGGCGCCTGAGTCGCCTGCGCTGCCTGGCCCGTGCCCGGGCCTGGCGGGCCGGGAGAGTTCTAAACCTCTCCCGGTCCCGCTCCGCCGTCTCCTTCGCGAGCATAACTTGCTCGCAGAAGGAGACCGCAGAGTTCCAAGCAACTCTCGCTCCGCACGATAGCCGCAATCAGGCTATCGAGCGAGAGAACTCCCACTCCGATGGCCGCCACGAGGTCTCGCCTCTGCTCAACCCACGCCGGGCACTCTGCCAGCGTGTGGAGAGCCGTGTCCACGGTCTGGCCATCGCAGTGGTGGCACTCAGGCGTTGGCTCCTTGCGGATCAGACACAGGTGATCTCCGAAACATCCCTTCCCAGTGATCACCTGCGTCAATCGGTATGAGAGGGTCCCGTGACGCCTCTCGAGCCAATCCTCCATAACGGGTCTTACCGCCGCAATGACGGCGTGCCCGGGGAGAGAATGCCCTGAGCATTAAGACCGCCTGTGTACAACTTGTGTGTAAAATAAATAAATAAACTTGCTTCCTATCACGTAAGTGGTATCGTATATAAATGTATGTAGTATATATAGTCAGTCAATGTAGGCATTTAATCCGTCCCAGTCTGTCCTTGGGAATAAAAGATGTGTGTTTAACGCAGAAATATAATTCAACGTGCAAACAAAATAATAACAAATCGAGTTCTACTAATTGCTTTATTTGCGGTCAAATTTACCGTCAAAAAAGACATGGAATGAAATGAAAAGAGTGGACAGTAACAATTCCACGGACGGTGTATTGCATGTTATACTCGTTAGCTGTGATTGCGAGGAACCCCACCAATGGAATTAATAATTTGCCTGATCATATGCAAAAATGGACGCGCCCATGTGAATGTGCGAGAATCTCTATTATTCGGATTATATCCGGAATAAAGAGCTGCGCTTTAGAAGTAGATACGGATTAAAATTGCATTTTCTGTTGATATGTGTTAAAGAGAATTATTTTATGTTGTTAATCATTTTAAATATTGGGTTCATTATTATCAATTCAACAGCCTTTGATAGTCCACTGCTGTACATAGGCCTTTCCTTAGAAAGGATGTTTTGGCTTACTATAACACGCTGCCCAGACGGGTTGGTATAGGGTTTGTGTTGTGTGTGTTGGTATAGGGCTGGCGCTAGGAGGGGTCCGGATGTCTTAACAACAGCTGTTCCCGGATCCCTCCTGTTACAGGCGCAGAGTGGCACACCGTGTGGTTTTAGTCGGTCCGAGTCCGACACACCACCCCGCCGCAAACCCCGGAGGGGTGACGGTCCGAGGGGATTTCCACACGTTAAAAAAAAAAAAAAAAAAAAAAGGGTTTGTGTCAAATTTTCCTTCTCTTTGCAGTACTGATGTTCTGCGTAGTTAATTCACCCTTTAATGAAGATTTTTACACTTTAGGTTTATTTTAACTTAAATCTAAAATGAAAAATCTTGCAGTTATGTAATTACAATTTTCTATTACAAGTATAGTATTCTTCACATGGTCATAAACACGACATAATATTTTCTGATATTCCTGAATAACTCTCCAATAGACTCCAAGCCTTACCAACCTTTGCTCATACATATTTTTTTACACGGAATCAATTGTGAATAACCAACAAGAAATATATCAAACACATCGTTCGGGGCTTGGATGTCTGTATCTACTTTCGAATTTTTGAATTTGAAAGAGGAGGCGGAACGGGTCCTCTTTACATTTGCATTTAACACCGAGTAATTATTGCAGACTCCCTAAGTCCAGATCCTCTCCCTCTTGAATTAGTTAAAACACAGGTAGTCATTCTACCTGTACCGGTCTATAGAAGTATTTGATTTTGGTAATCCCTTTCATTCTATAAGTTGGTTGATCTGTGTCACTTGTACTCCTCTACATCGAAAATTGAGATGAGGTAATATTACGTCTACACTAGGTAAGTAGTAGTGAATTATAATTAAAATGAGTAGTGTAATAAATACTACTACTAACTACATACAAACGTCAAAAAAATCTCCGCTAGCCGCTAGCTCTCCGGTAGCGTTCCCAGAAGGCTGGCAGCATTGCCACGTTGAATAACTAAACCATGGCTAAACCTTCCTTTTGATATTTGAGATTTTTTATTCTGATTAACTTAAATTTACTTCATTATTTTTGAAGTAGTAGAAAAACATGTCGGCAAGGACAAGAACCATATAGGAAATTGAGGCAGGAAATTCATCTTCACCTTTACTGTCAAGCTGTAAGCTAGGTGAACAGTGACGGTGAGCTGCGACAGAGTAAATTTGACATTAGTAGATCTTGGTTCAAGAACACACATCGCCTCTGTGATGCATTAAGCATGCTAAACATTTTCCTATGCTGATAAAAATATAAAATAAAAAACTTGATGAATTGTTTGTAAAACTTTAGCAAAAGATAATCTAAGTAAATAGCTTCTTTAAACAAATTCAGGTCTTTTTTATTTGATATAAATATTTATTCCAAAATGAAAAGATTCAGCGATCCAATTTAGTCTATGCCCCGCAGTTTCCAAACATTAACGACCTCCATAATGGCGGTCAACGGCGAAAAATTCTTGAACGAAAATAAAAACAATATGGCAGCTCGTTACTCTGACACACGCAGTAATCCAATCTGCTTGATTCCACGGTCGACAAACTTAGAAGACTATCACGGGTAATAGTTCCCAAATAAACCTACAAAATTATGTATGTGTCCAATTGTGCTGTTTATCTTAGGTTTTGAATTCTTTCCAATTTAGTACCATTACAATGTGACGTACATTCATTATTTTTGAAATACTAAAAACAGATGGCAGTTTTCGCGTTGCGCGGCCACGTAGTTAATATGAAAAGTCGTAAGATGGCGTAACAAGTTATTGTCACTTTGCTGTCATAATAAGTAATAAAAAAAAATTACACAAAATTAATGGCTGCCGGCTTGTTACATGCTCGTGCGCAATTATTTTTGTGTTTTGGTGTATTTACAGTGTGTTTTGTTATATCCGCGTTGAGTTGAACATCAGTTCCTCCGTGTCTATCAGAAAACCAACATAAATACATCAATCTTCGACTACCAAGTTACTAACGTTTTTGTGTTATTTCCACCTAAGTCCATTCGGTTTATTATAACATAAATTTGAGTGGCCGTGTTGATTTAGTGCTTGTAACGTTTGTGATTTGAGATAGAACTTGCCCTTATCCGGTCCGATTTGCACATATTTAAAAAAATGTCGATCACTAAGTGTTGTGTCCCCGGATGTCCAAACAGTTCAGGTATGTTTATTCATCTCGTTGAATCTTCCAAATCCTATCTCTAGATACATTCTCTAAAGATAATTTTGTCTTTTTAAAGTAATAAAAAATAAGGGAACTTTCAAAGCTGTTTTGACATACATAGTATTCTGTAATCTTTATCTACTGAAATTTCGCATTGAATTTCGTTTAAAATTTAAATTGAATACTTTTATAGATATTACAGTACCAATATTACTATGCTACAAAACTACAGAAAGCAGAAAGTCAAAATACGCCACTGAGGCAGCCTGTGTGCCTACTTTCTATTCTGTTTGTAAATTAATAATATAATTTATATAATATGAATTTCAGCTAACACCATCTTCACACATTTCATCACACTTAACAATGTTATCATTTCAGGCTCTGAGGAGATCCTACACAAATTTCCTAATCCAGAGAGGGAGAGGGAGCTATTCAATACATGGCTCTATGCTATTGGCGGTGACATAGTGCAACTTGAAAATAACCACATTTTCAAATATCGCCGTGTATGTCATTTACATTTCGAAGAAAAGTATTGGTGTCGGAATAACAGGCTTAGCAAAATTGCAGTACCCACAAAAAACATGCCTGGTAAGTGTTCACTGTTTTCACATGCTTTTTTATTTTACTTGCAATGTGTGTGCTGAACAAATTTTGGAAGCTAAATTAGAATCACTTCTCAATGTCCGATTAGGCTCAAATTCAGTGTGCATAGGTATCCTTAGGAACAATAAAATAATATGGTACCATGGATGTGTTCTAATGATTAGACCAGAAATTTGGTCTATGAACTTCTGAACTCAATAAGATAAACCCATCAAGTTTAGGTTAGATTGAGTCGTCTTGAGGCGTACTATTTTTGTAATATCAAATCTAAAAGAAAACGAAAACGAAACAAAAAGTTTGTAATAAAAGCTGGTTTTAAAATATATTTTTACAATTGATTTATTTATAAATGAGTGAGGAATGACTGAGGTGATAACATGTAATAAGAATTTACGGCAGAACTTGTAGTCATTCATTCATCAGTTAATACATTAGACTTGGCAGTAGTATAGATAGCTATCTATATAACTGATATAAGTGAAATCCAAAAACATAATTCTTGATTACTTTAAATCTAAATTAACTAAATATCATGTATTGTATGTTTTGAAAAAATATATAAGTATGTTTATCAGCAGTCTGGTTACTATAGTACAGGCTCTGTCTAGTTTGGGTTCAGACGGCCGTGTGTGAGATATGTGAAAATATAGTCCTATTGCTTTGGGTGTTATAGTATTTTGGTATTTTTTGTACAAATTGCTGTAATACTGAAATCAAGAAACTTTTATTGTATTGTATTCTTACTATAATAATGAAATTTTATTATTATTTCAGGATTATCATTTGTGAAATTTAGTTATGGGACCAAAGCCTTGAAATCCATTCAAACATCCGAAGCATTGACATCGAAAGGTATTTTATTTTATTTTATTTAAGTAAACATAGAACGTTTGTCTTTCTATGCTTACTTTACTATCGAGATTTTTGTTACTTTACTTTCGAGATTTTTCGTCATAACCTGCCACAGTGTCAAATTTTTAACCAACTCTAAAAAGATTGTATTCAACCCTATGTATGTATTTTGATTATTCATGATTTTTTCAATCCTACTTCATGGCGTTTTTGCTATTTGACAGCATATTTTTCTGGGAAGGCTGGGTTTAAGGTGTAAAACATTGCCCTAGATTATAAGACAACAGATCTCATAGTACTACAAAGGAGTGAGTGTATCATTAACTATCATGAAGTTGGTTAATTTGTTTTAAAAATTTATACTCCTCAGTATGTTTAAAGTATTGTGTATAAAGAGATACTAGTACTAGTAATATTACATACTGTAATATTGTACAGAAGCAAACTTAACTCAACGTTTTTTAATTATTACAGACTTAACATTAGAAAAAATCAGTTCTGAGGCCACAGATTTGAGAACCATGGAAACATCTGAAGCGTCAACGTCGAAAGGTACTTTACATTTTTAAGTTACAAATATGTTCTCTAGAAGTTTATGCTAGTGTTTGTTAATAATATTTATTTAAATTTCATTACAGTGGGCCAGCACATGCAAAACTTTGCTCTTCCAAAGAAGAGGGTTAAACGTGTTGCTGTAACTCCAGGCGAGCATGCTTTATACAAAAGGCTTGTAAAAGTCGGAGTCAAACTAAGCAAATGTCGCAGTAAGGTTAAAATCCAAGCAAGCAAAATAAAGGCACTGCAAAATATTACCACCAATCCAAAATTTTTGGAAATTTTAGATGCTCTACCCAGCACATCCAAAATATTGACATTGTTGCAGTTTAGAGAAATCAAAAAGGGTGACAGAGGACGTCGCTTTACATTGCAAGAAAAGCTTGTGAGTTTGTCAATTATGAAACAAAGTTCAAAAGGGTATAGATTTCTTCGAAAAATATTTATACTGCCCTCACGGCAGATTCTACTGCAACTATTGCATCAGGCAAATATCAAGCCTGGAATAAATTCAAACACCATTGAACAACTCAAGAAAGCAACTGAGGCTATGAAGTTGGAAGACAAATTGTGTATTCTGCTATTTGATGAAATGTCCCTAAAACCTAATGTTGCTTATAATGAAAGAAAGGACAGAGTATGTGGTTTTGTCACAAATGGTGACGAAGTATATTCAGAATACGCGGATCATGCACAAGTGTTCATGATAAGAGGCTTATTAAAAAATTATAAGCAACCAGTAGCCTACACATTTTCTCAAGCAGCAACTAAGGGACCTGAACTAGCAAAGCAATTAAAAGCTGTTGTCACTGCACTGCAAGGAGCTGGTCTTACAGTTGTCGCTACTGTGTGTGATCAAGGGACAAATAATGTAAGCTGTATTAAATATTTACTGCAAGAAACAAGAGGAATTTTGTTAAGAAGGGGTGAAGAGCCCAAACATAATCTCATTTTAGTAAATAATCAAGAGATTATACCATTATATGATCCACCCCATTTAATTAAATGTGTAAGAAACAATTTAATTTCTAAACATTTAAAATATGTCAAAGATGGTGAAACCAAGGTGGCAAAATGGGCACATATAATGTTGTTACACAAAGAAAACCCAGGCTACAAGGGCATAAGATTAGTACCTAAATTAACAGATGCCCACTGTGACCCTAACAAAATCCCCAAAATGAAAGTGAAATTTGCTACCCAGCTTTTTAGTCAAACTGTGGCATCGAATATGGGTTATCTTGCAGGTAAACATCATTTTAATCTGTAGTTTATACTAGTTGTTAAATTATTTGTATACAATGATATTATTTAGTTGTGTTGTACTAAGAGTCCTTTCAAGTTCAGTCTGCCTCAAAAAGAAGTATAAGTGAACAAAGTTCCATTATAATGTTATATCCATTTTGCCAACATGTAGTAATATAGTGAACATCAATATAGTGACGAAGTTCGAAGTTCCTCGTGTAAATCGGTTTAGTAACTTTGTAAACGTTTATGTAATTAGTTTGTATACACCTTTGTAATCAAACAAGTAACTACATATTATGTGATTAGGCTTGTCCATTTTACTTGGCTGTGAAGTTTGCTCTCTATAGGAGTGCATTTCAACAACAAGAATGCATGTCACGGAGATAAATATGCTTCAGCGTGATCGGTAAATTTCAAGAAATACAATTTTCTACTTTTCAAACTATTATAATATCTCGACCATATGACGTAGCTAGCTTAGTATTCTATTAATCACAACCATTTACCTAAAGCTGTTGAGAGATTACATCACACACTCATCTTAATATTTTTCATTTTCCAGATAAGGGTATTTTGCCAGCAGATGCTAAAGACACCGCTGATATACTGTTGTTTTTTGACCAGCTATTTGATGCAATGAATGGCAGCCATGGTAAAAAAAAGAAATACGGCAAGCCATTATTAGGACCTGCAACACCTACTTCAATTCACATGAAAGTTTGGAGAGAATCCAAAAATATGTTGCAGAAGATGAAATTCCTAAATCGTTCAACACTGAGGGATGAATATGTTCCCACATTAAATAATTGGGTATGGACACTAGATGGGACTGAATTGTTATTAAAAACACTGCACTCAAAATATGGTGTAACATCTGTTTGGTTACGGCATCTAAACCAGGATCCAATAGAAAACTTTTTTGGGTGTATAAGGAGCCATGGTTGCCGTAACGTAAACCCTACACCAGAAAAGTTTGAGACAGCTTTCACAACCTTATTGGTAAACAGCCTATCTAGTGTTCATGCCCCTGGAGCAAATTGTCAAGGCGATGATTGTTATGCTCTTCATGAGGTACTCATTACAGGCAGGGGTAGTAAAGAGCAAATTAATTGCGAGCTTAATACTATTCCCGATATAACGATTACGCCTCTTGAAGACAAAAAAGATCCTCGTGAAATCGGAGGGTTACAATATGTAAGCGGGTATTTTTTGAAAAATACAAAGACGAAAGTTTTCAAGGGGTGTGATCAATGTAAAAATGATTTGATGGCAAGAAACGAATACGAATACATAAAATATCGGGAATATTCAGATAAAAAATGGCTTTGCAACCCCAGCAACTCTCTCTTGAATTGCATATCAAATCTGCAGGATATTAATTATACTATTTTAAGGTCAAATTTACAAAAAAATCATATAAAAGAATTTATAAAAACAATCATTTTAATGCATCTAGATTTTAATTTTATTCAATGTGCAAAACATAAAGAAAAATTAGTTGATTTTTTAATTCAAATATCCTGCAGATTTTTTATTCATAATTACTGTAAAGAAATCAATAAAATATTGGTTAACAAGAGAGAGTGTGATGATGACACTGATGAGTTCAAAATCAAAGCAAAACGGCTATATAAAAAATGTTTTAAAAGAAAAATAAATAGTACAACATAAAAAAAACTGTTTTATTAAAACTACATTTAAATATGTTACATACCTCTACTACTGACTTATACATTTTAACATTTAAAACACTAGCTCTTTTGCATGCAAATTTCATCTAAATAGATGAAATTTGCATGCAAAAGAGCTAGTGTGAAATTGCTGCCGGTTTAGCGGTTTAAATATTTTAAATGACAAATATTGATAAATATGAGCAGTTCCTGTACTAGTGCTATGCTATATATATATCTATACTAAAATCTATACATATAGCTACATTTATATATATATATATATAAATGTAGCTATATGTATAGATTTTTAGGTTGTAGTTACAAATCACGCGTTCAGAGGGCGACACTTGTGTGTTTCTCATTTAGTATCGAAGTGGTACCTCTATTTCATATTGAACAATAGTACTCTGTGCTTGATTCGCACTGACCCTTCCGTAGCGCCAAGATTGCGCAATCCAATGTGTTTATTTTTTTAGTAGATATTTGTACATATATTTAACTCTTTATTGAACATTACAAACATAGAGTTAGATTTTTCGTTTGCAGGATAAATTCGGCTTAGAGGATATATTTATTGAAGAAATGAAAAATATTTTTATTTTATGAGGTGTAAACGACTCAACCACGTGCAAGATTTTTTTTAAATTGCCTAAGTATGAGCGGAAGTATGAGTGGGAGATAACAGGAGTGGATTGTTCGAGGAACAGAGGGTTCTGTTGTGATTAGAAGATAGAAATTGGAATGACGATGTAAGGTAGGAACGGGAAATGGGTGAGTAGAGAATGAAATAGAGGGTGCTGAAGACGCGCAGCTGACGACGCTGACGAATCGTGAGCAAGTTCAATTCATGACGAAAGGCATGAATGCAGTTTTTCAGTAGGCGGTCACATTTATTGAGGAAATCTTCATTCAGGTTACAGTAGCATACATCCCCATAATTTAAGATAAGGACCAATAAGGGTCTGTATCTACTAGCATCTCTTTTGTCTCAGAAGGAAGGAAGTTACTAAGCCGATAAAAAGGCCGTAGCGTACCTGTAACTCTCTGGCTGACGCTAGAGACCTGGATTTGCCATCTGAGCTTGGAGTCGATAAATAGGCCTAGATTATTAACAGAAGGACTGAAGAGAATGACTACGCCGTTAAAAGTAAAGGGTGGCAGTTAATCTTGGCCTAACCTTCCAGTCATACGTGGACTGCCTATGATGATAGCTTGGCACAGGGATTGGCACTTGGTTTTCGGGCGGGGCGTTCGACGGTCGACGCCGTGTTGCGCCTGAGGGCCGTGACCGAAGAGGCCGTGAGCTGTGGCGGCGTGCTGTTGGCGGTGTCATTAGACATCGCCAACGCATTCAATAGTCTGCCATTCAGCTGCATCAGGGAAGCACTCCACTATCATGGGGTGCCAAAGTACCTGAGGCGGCTGGTGGCAGACTATTTAGAGGAGCGTACCGTCGTGTACGAGGACCGAGAAGGTAATCTGAGGTGTCGGCCCATGTCGTGCGGTGTTCCACAGGGGTCTGTTCTTGGACCCCTCTTGTGGAACATAGGGTACGACTGGGCCCTTCGCGCCGATTTCCCCCCCGGGCTGGGTGTAATCTGTTACGCAGACGATACCCTCGTGACAGCCCGGGGGGCAAACTTCCAAGAGGCGGCGCGCCTGGCCACAGGGGGAGTCTCCCTGGTGGTCGGGCGCATTGAGGCGCTGGGCTTACGGGTGGCCCTAGATAAGACGGAGGCCCTGTTATTCCATGGGCCCCGTCGTGGTCCACCCCCTGGCGCCTCAATCGTGGTCAACTCGGTCCTCGTACCGGTTCGGGCCCAGATGAAATATCTGGGCCTGATCCTCGACGGGAGGTGGCTCTTCGACGAGCACTTCCGACAGCTTGCTCCAAAGCTGGTCGGCGCTGCGTCTGCCCTAGGGCGACTTCTGCCCAATATGGGTGGACCCAGCGTCGCGACAGCTGACGGCTGTACACGGGGGTTGTCCGGTCAATGGCACTGTACGGTGCACCGGTGTGGGCGGCGGCTCTGACCGCCCAGAATAGGGTACGCCTCTGGCGCCCTCAGAGGGTAATGGCGGTCAGAGCCATACGCGGTTACCGCACCGTTTCGACGGAGGTGGCATGCGCATTGGCCGGAACTCCCCCGTGGGATTTGGAGGCGGAAGTGCTCGCCGAAGTTTATCGGCGAGTGGCTGACTTCCGGGCGGAGAGCGGATTTCGCCCTCCGCCCGAGGATGTGCGCGAGTGGCGCGAAGCCGCTCGCCGAGCCACGATGGCTCGTTGGTCGTTCCGGCTGGAGACTCCACGCGCTGGCTTCGCCGCCGTGGAGGCTCTCCAGCCGGTCATCGCCGAGTGGGCAGGGCGGCAGCACGGGACCCTTTCCTTCCGGCTGACGCAGGTGCTTTCCGGGCACGGTTGCTTCGGAAAGTACCTGCACACGGTCGCAAGGAGGGAACTGAGTCCCGCCTGCCACCACTGCGACTGCAGTGAGGACTCGGCCCAGCACACGCTGGCGGTCTGCCCCGCATGGGTGGCGCAGCGTCGGGCCCTCACTGCAGTCATCGGAGTGGATCTCTCGCTACCGGCCGTAGTACGCTCCATGGCCGGTAGCGACAGTTGTTTTACCGCGGTCGCTACCTTCTGCGAGGTAGTAATCTCGCGGAAGGAGGCGGCGGAGAGGGCCCGGGAGGACGACCTCCACTCGGACCCGATCCGCCGCCGGCGAACCGGGCGGCGGAGGCCCGCCTATCACAGCCTCATGCCGCCCTGAGTGTGGCCGCGGGTGGACGGGGTGGGTTTCCCCTCCACCCGCATTAGTTTGGCCAGCCGCGAGGGGGCGGCGTCCGCGTGTGCCGGACGTCGCCTATAAAGAGAGGAAAAACATCGAGACGGAGCCCGCACCAGGAGCGGGCTGGCGCTAGGAGGGGTCCGGATGTCTTAACAACAGCTGTTCCCGGATCCCTCCTGTTACAGGCGCAGAGTGGCACACCGTGTGGTTTTAGTCGGTCCGAGTCCGACACACCACCCCGCCGCAAACCCCGGAGGGGTGACGGTCCGAGGGGATTTCCACACGTTAAAAAAAAAAAAAAAAAAAAAAAAAAAGGGATAGATTATAATCTAGAACAGCACATGGCTGTTTATCCCGAAAAAATGTAGTATTCCCGTAGGACGAGCAAGTTACAGCAACAACCGCGGGTAACACCGCAGGGTGCAGCTAGTTCACACGTAGTCATCTCTACATATAAATAAAATTTAAGTGTCTGTTTGTAATGTCAAAATAATAGATTTCTAGAAAAAATCTATTATTTTGACATTATCTATTATGTTGACTGATTTTTAGGCACAGGTATTGTGCAATGAATTGCACCTGTGCCTAAAAATCAGTTTCAATATTTTTTGTCTGTCTGTTTGTTCTGGGTAATCTTCTAAACGGCTACACTGATTTTGATAATATTTTACTACCGATTAGCTGTCTATATAAGCAGTAACTTAGGCTAATTTTCCTCTGAAAAACAATGTAAAATTTTGCCCGGTCCGGGAATCGAAAACGAGGCCCTGAGAGGCCTCTGGAGCCTTTTATAAAAAATAAGTTTCTGATAATTGAAAGAAGCTATAGTGATTAGGAAAATATTATTTAAAAAACTTAAACTTTCCGTCTTTAATTTTTGTTTTATTGATGATGAAATATTTTTTTCATTTGGTATTCGATTAGATAGATATTTCTATAAATTTGTTTATTTTTAAGACATTAATACTCTCAGTTTGGGTGGCAAATAGGTGAAACTTTTATATTTACACATCGAGCTATTTTGTCAAGCGTAAAACGAAACGTCAAAAACACGTTATTTAGTCTGTGCGAGTTTGCAGCTGTGAACTGACAAGTTTGTGTTTGATTGAGTTCCATATTTTGGTCAATCTCGCAAGAAAATTTAAATACGTAAAAGAGTGTTGTTCTATGTCATGGCGATGAGTTATTTAAATGAAAGTGAAGCCCCTCGGGACTTTAGGGTCTCATCCATGGATAGTGATAGTAATTACAAGAAATGCTTGCTGTGCTACACAGTGAAAAAGAACTTTTATTGTCCTGATTGCATAAAGGAGGGCAGTTTTGTACATTCCTCAATGCCTTATTCAGACAGGTATATTATTTAACTACTATTTCTTAGTGATATTACTGTACTATTATATTTACAGCAAAATAAAAGGTTTAATAACAGTAAACTTAATTGCTGTAAGTCGAAACAAGTGCGTAGACAACACTAACATATGCGCGACATTTATGTGTAAACAAAGCATATAACTCATAAACCTACGCTTAAAACTTAATATTTTTCTAGAAAGTTCTAGTAATGTTTATTTTTGGTTAATATATGATAAGAGTAATCATTACGGTAGTGATATTGCTAATTCGATTACTGTTTACAAACCCACATAACCTTGAATAAATAGATGTGTGTTATGTTTATTTCGTCACAAGTGTGACTCAGCCTTTACATAATTGAGTTTTTATTATACACATTTTGACTACTAGGAAGTAAAGCTTACACAGACACATAAACACAAATTATTACATACACACAAATGATTTGATGCTCTGTTTATTATGTAAAATTTTATACTGTGTACAATTTTTTTTTGTTTTCGTTTTTGGAATTTTAATGCATTAATATTTAATTTTATATATAATAGTTATTTTATCTTAAGAAATTAAATAAATATGAATGGTAATAGGTACTTTTGAACCGAGTTTCATGATGTTTAATTTTAAGAGTATGGGTGTTTTCCATAATATGTATGGATTTAAAAAAAAAAGTAAATAAGTATTCTATCAGTCAATCTAGTTTTCATAGTACAAGCTCTACTTAGTTTGAAACTAGGGAGCATTGTGTGTCAATGTCTGAAATATTATTATTATTATTATGTATTAAACCTAACTATATTTAGTTTGGCTAGTTAGTGTATAAACTAAAATTTATTTTATTGGTTAAAAATCTGTTTTTATACTTGATGTTTTGCTATTTTATTACATTTGTAATGTTTCTTTTGATGAAATTTAAATCAATTTATTAAATATTACAGATTTGCCGAAAAACAAGCCAAGTTACTACGATTAAAAGCAAACAGAAAGCATGTGCTGGACAGATGTGAAAAATTAGTGGCCATAAAATTAAAACGAGAAACACTGTTAACGGAAGCTAAACAGTCAAGAGACAGACTAGACCTACTGCGGTCAGCAATAAGCCAGAGACGGAACAACATAGAAGAAAAACGCAAACAGTTAATAGAATTAAGAAACTATAACAATGAACTGAGTGTGAAGTTACCAAAGTACCAGAAACGGGTATTGAGTGTTGGTAAAATGACACATGTACACCACATGGAGCTGGAGAACAAAGTCAGTACATACAGAGAACAGGCGGACTCATTGGCAGCATTACGTAGATCAAGAATACGGCAGCTAACCAAATACATATTCCCTGTTTATATGACTTATGACATAAGGTAAGTTACTTTATGTTTCTTCCTAAAGATTAGGTGTAAGTCAATTACAAAATCCCTCACCCTCCCAGTTTTATTTAGGGGTTGGTTCAAATGGTTTTGGATAGCTAACTCCGTGATTCCCTCGTGTGATTCTCGTGATTCCACTTAGTATTTTATATATATTTTATTAATTTATAGTTATGTATTTTTTTCTTAAATCACAATCATGACTTACATTACTTACTTACTTACTCTAAAACCAAAACATAAACGAAGAATTTAAAGAATTGCGATGTATAATAAAACAAAATCATCTGTCTGCCTGTTCATTATAAACCCAAAAAAAAATATTTAGTGCTGTTTTTATCAATAGACAGAGTGATTTAAGAGGAAGGTTCAGGTTTATAATTTATTTTGTTATACTGTGTAGATTAGTTGAAATGTGACAATAATTGTTGAAAATGTGACATAAGTCAGGCGCCCCCAAGAGCTTTAAGTGCTAATGCTAAGCCACAAGCTGCAGTGAAACTATGATAGAAAAATGATGTAGGCATAATATGCTTTACTATCCGAAGTGTGAAGCTAAACTAAGTCTAGCAGATTACCGATTCAATTTTCGGTCACAATACGATATAATCAGATGACAGTCAACGTTGGATGTTTAATACTTTACTACGAGAATACCTTTTATGACAGATGTGAGATCGAGAGTTTATAGGTACTGAATTGCGACCGAGTGACCGAACTTTTATTTCGAGAATTGGCCTTCAGAGAAGGCTTTGTTTTTTTCAATTGTTTATGCAAATTAACAACTTTCTTACCTAAATTGATAAAAATGTGTCTTCAATTATCAACAACCGTACGTTGTAATTGATTGTTGTATTAATACATTATCAATATAGGACAAGTGTTTATTGATTAGATAATCTGTAGATGTAACATGAAAGATAATAAAATCTCACCTAAATGGAATCAACTAATAAATAAGTGATCTGATAATTAAACTAAAATATTGTTTTACACTTGGGAAGTATGAAAATATTATAGATGTTAAATGTAGCTCAATATTAAACAGTCAAAGCTATGTAAAACTTTGATCAATTGAACCATGTAGTGTATAAACTATATCCCTTCTTAAGAAGGATTGGCCTCAGCGACCGTAAAAAATATCAAATCTGTTTTGTAATTAAATGGAGGATGCAATGAAAGAGAATCTCGAGTAATTGAAATAAATGGGAGAAAAAAACGCTATGCATTTACCCTAAATCTTCTTCCTCCTAGCCTTTTTTCCCCAAACTAGGTTGAGGTTGGCTTTAATTCGATTTTTACGTTAAGCGACTGCCTCCACAACCCAAGTAGGCGAAATCGAAGTTCTGTAGAAAGAATTTTGTCGGACTCTTAATTACTTCGGATATTTGTATGGCGGGACCGTCGGCTTAACGTGCTCTCCGAGGCACGGAGGTATCTCAACGTGTTAAAAAAAATGGAAACCCATCCAGAAACTGACCTTGCTAGAATTACTTAACTATGCAATATGTTATCCCACTCGATAAATACTTAGCCACGTATCCCTCATCCTTGACTCCAAATAAATATTAGAAAATGGTACAAAACATCCTCATCCTTGGATGATGTTTTGTAGAAATTAAAATATAAAACCGCGAATTGGTTTTCTAAACCAATTAACTGTACAAATTCATATTGCGAAAAAATCATAAACAAATGTTTTTGTCCTGATAATCATTTTAATAAGCTGTTTTTGTAGAATTATCGGAACGTACAACCGTTTTAGATAGTTATGCATCAGTTGCTATAGTTTTGTCCAGTATTATTAATCAATACTATAATTGCTGTCCGTGTGGTGACGGATTAAGAATACAAATTGTCACCACCCCAATTCATCCCGTGGGTGTCGTAAGAGCCGACTAAGGGAGCAAACTAAGCAGGACAACAGCACTGCAAAGAGAAGGAAAACTTGAAACAATCCCTATATCAACCCGTCTGGCCAGCGTGTTATAGTAGGCCAAAACCTCCTTTCTTAGGAGAGGCCTATGTCCAGCAGTGGACTATTAAAGGCTGTTGATGTGACTATAATTGCAATGTTTCCAGTGAGAGTATAGAGGACATGGAGTTCATTGGCAATGATGCAGAAGAAGAGCCTCCAAGAAAGCCACAGTTGCATATTGTAGCGCCTTGGATCAATGTCGATGATGATTACTCTCAAATACATGCTTCATGTAAGTATATTTTTATCATAACGGTTATATATTAACTAGCTGACTCGGCAAACGTTGTATTGCAAAACAAAAAAAAATTAGGAATGGGTCACCTTTACCGATTCTCAGACCTACCCGACGTGCACACAAAATTTCATGAGAATCGGTCAAGTCGTTTCGGAGGAGTACGGGAACGAATATTGTGACATGAGAATTTTATTTATAAGATATACATGATATTTAAACATGAAAAGTACTAGAGGTAATAATGTTGTTTGAAACTAACAGGTATTTCGTTATGATTTTTTTAAAGTTCCTAGTAAATCTTAGTTTGTTGAGGTACTCGGTTATTTTAAATTAATTATATTCAATTTAAATAAAAGACAACTCCTGACAAATCCTGTGTCGCGGGGGACTTTACAAACATACATTAAACGGACATAAAGGACACCTTTTTTTATTTTTATTTTTTCCGTGCGGAAATCCCCTCGGATACCACCTGTCGGTGGCATGTCGGACTCGAACCGACTAAAACCGCACGCCTTCGCCGGGTACTAATAGCCGGGGAACCAGGTATACCCTAGAAAGGAAGTCCCTGGTGCGACATAAAGGACACCTAGACTCGGGACCAAAAATTTGTCCACCCTTAATATAGAACCCACAAGACGCAGCGTAGTAGGAAGCGGCGAGGTGATCGCTTAAAGCACTACGCCATCCGTGCAGGCATAGTATTAGTGTGTAAGAAAAGCCGTATACTATCGTGAGCTGTTTACATTTGAAATCGAACATCGGGTTGTATTTCCAGTGCGGCAGAACAAGGAGGTGAGCGGCGGGGCGGGTGGGGGCGGGGCGGGCGCGTTCGGTCCGGCGACGCGCGGCGTGGCGGCGCTGGCGCTGGGCGCGCAGCTGCTGGCGCTGCTGGCCTGGGCGCTCGACCACCGCCTGCCGCACACCATCTCGCTCGAGTAAACACGCACCTTTGTTCTTCTACACGCTACACGTTACACACACTCGTACCTACTGAACGACGCAATGCATCTAGTCAGTCTTTAAAATCATATCATAATATTTACTATTTCATCAATTATTCAATTTATATAGTATTTTATTATCATCACAAGGTTTAATTTTACATTTACATACGTTTAAGTTACAATTATTATTATTTTTTATTCAAGTCAGATCATATAACCCGCCCCGCGTCGCTCCCGGTGCAAAGGTGCCCATGACACTGGCAGCGTTGCCTCGCTGAATTGCAACGGACATTCTTTGCACCAGAAACGAACCGGAGCGGGAGTCACCACTTTTAGTAGTATTTTAAATTAAAAGTTTACTATCATAATTGTTTTGGGTGAAAATAACGTAAATTTGTGGTCACCCAAAATTATGTTTTGTGTAAAGCTTTTCAGCTAGTTCAGCAAAAGTGCACACCTCCTATAAAAATCATAACATCTTACTTACTAATAAATTAAATACGGAATGTATGTAATTTAAACTTACGTAAAAATCGCACAAAAATAAATCTAATATGTTCATAGACACGTGGATTTTGCGCAGGATTCTAATCTTGGTCCATTCTAAATTTTACCCATAAAATATTTATAAAGTAATGGAGACAAAAACATCAATTAATCCTAAAAACCACTAACAAATAAATAATAATATAATAGGCATAATATTTTATTCAAATTATCATAATGTCATGAAAATATATTTTTTTTCCATTTATTTTGGCACAAACAGTCATTTAAATCAAAAATTACACAATAAATATACATAGGGTGATAGACAACGAGTGCCGAAATCAGTTTTTTGTAATAATTAAAGTCTATGTGTTGATTTAGAAAGCTGCATGAGGCACAGATGTTACAAAGTAAAGTACTTATATTAATACTATGCAAGCTTTTACATATCATATTGTGTAATACAAAATATATCAAATAGTAGGTAGCTACATATGACGCGTCGTATGACTTACATACGTACCTTATTTAAGCATTTTATTAAAATGGATAAATAAAATTTACGACATTTATTAGATGTAATAAATTAATAACTTATCTAAGTAACTAAAATGCTGATAAATAATGTTTTTGTATAAAACGGTTATTTTTTATCTCTGGGTTTAATTTATAATGTATGTATTTAGACTGTATATCTACAGTCTGGTTAACATTTATGTATCCATGGCCGTGTGCGAGTTGTTTCAAATTGTAACTTTTGTTACGTATTTAAAATAAATCTATCTGTTGAAATGAAACTGTAATTTCGACAGGTGGATTCATCGCCTCCATAGCTCAGGGGTTAGAGCACTGGTCTTGTAAACCAGGGGTCGAGAGTTCAAATCTCTCTGGGGGCATTCGGCTTCTTTTTGTTTTTTTGTAATTTTATTATTCCTTTTTAGTAAAGATTTAGTAGATTTTTAACATTACTAGAATATATTTTCATTGAAATTACATAAAAAGTATACTAACCTTGCTTGGTTGATTTAGGAAGGCGAAATAGATAAAGATAATGCGTCGTAGACCTTGTGGCCTATATATAATTACGTTTAGTGTTTTTTAATGTTTATTAAATTATTATTGTTATGAATCTGGAATAAAAAGAAAACCGGCAACCGCACGAATACTTCTTTCGTTCAATTTAATTAAACAATTTCTATGTAATTCCTTCGTGACTTGGGTTAATAGTGTTTCTCAATAAATTAAAAAGGTTTTGTTTGAGATTTGTGAAAAGGGACGGAAGTGCGTTACCGGATTAAAAATACGGAGTGTCACCAGATCTATTCATCCCGTGGGTGTCGTAGGAGCCGATTAAGGGAGCGCACTATGCAGGACTACAGGAAGGAAAACTTGACACAAACCCTATACCAACTCGTCTGGCCAGCGTGGTATAGTAGGCCAAAATCTCTATTCTAAGGAGAGGCCTATGTCCAGCAGTGGACTACTAAAGGCTATTGATGCGATGTGATCATTGTTCTACAAGTTTCGGTTGAGATTTATTTTGTAATAAATTATTTTAAAAAGCTTTTGCGATATTTTCTTCAATTGAATATTAAATAATTCAAAGTATTATGATATTCGCTATGCCATACAATACTAAGCACCTTAACAAACTAGGATTTATTTGTGATGTGTGAGAGTTGTCCGTGTGGTGACGGATTAAGAATACGGAGTGCCACCACCCCTTTTCATCCCGTTGGTGTCGTAAGAGTCGACTAAGGGCGCAAACTGCGCATGTCAACAGCACTGCAAAGAGAAGGAAAACTTGACACAAACCCTATATCAACCCGTCTGGCCAGCGTGGTATAGTAGGCCAAAACCTCCTTTCTAAGGAGAGGCCTATGTCCAGCAGTGGACTATTATAGACTGTTGATGCTGATGATGATGTGTGAGAGTTGGCCGTGGTAGGTGAGATGACAGTTCTCACATATTATATGTAACTTCTGGAAGGTTCGCTCGTTTTCTTATGTATTTGAGTTCGCATTATTTCAGCCATTTTTCATATTTCTTGTTTTTATTAGTATTAAGGTCGAAATGTAGTAACATGTCTAATGTAGACATCGGCGTAAACATTGATTAATCCTTTTTCAATTGAAATGCTGGATGTAGTGAGATTACGAGGATGTAGTAGGATTATCAGGATGTATTCAGATTATAAGGATGAGGTAGGATTAACAGGATGTATTCAGATTAGTAGGATGTAGTGAGATTTTGGAGAGTAGGGAGGTTATGAGTATGTAGTAAGATTACGAGGATGTTGTGCAGTTATGTACAATGCGAGAATATACTAACATTATGAGGATGTAGTGACAATGCGAGGATGTACTAAGATTACGGGGATGTAGTGACATCGTGAGGATGTAGAGGAAGCTGACACGTCCACTACCGGTGTTGTTGCAGCGAGTACTGCAACTGGCGCGTGTGCGGGAGCGGCGTGACGTGGCGCGCGCGGCGCCTCGCCGCCAGCAGCGCCGTGCTGTGCGCGCGCGCGGGGCTGCCCCCGCCGCCGCCCCCCGCACCCCTGCCGCCCCACGCGCTCTCCGCGCTGCACGAGCTGGTGCTGGCCGCCAGCACCGACGACCCCATGCTGGGCAGGTAAATGCCTAATGTCTCTATCTTACCGCAAATGTCTTCAACCTTCAAAGCCGACATGACCTGAAAATATTTGTTTCTGTCTACATTTTATCTTAACAACTGAACCGAATAACTTATATATAGTTTTTTTTTAAATATTAAAATTAAAAACAATCAAAATGGCCGATTCTCGACAAAACCTTCTGATCTCCAATTTGTAGATCACGCGAAGTGTTATTTCAAATAGGAATCGAATCCACACACTCAGCGCGTTTAAGCGCATTAAGCGTTCAATTCGCAAAATGTTTCACTCAATTAATCTAGTTCGTAATTAAAATGCCTCTTTAATTACGTGAGCCGTTTTTGACGACCTCCACGTAAAGAAATTCGACATGAAGTAAAAATGCATATAGTTAGGGGAATCGGTTCAACTACTACAACGCAAGCAGTTCGGTTCTGGGATTTGCTCTAGCATTGATAAATATTGATCATTCTACGAATGACATTTCGCTAGCTGGATATTCTGCTAACCGGACATGCTGTAAATTAGACACTTTGCGCCCACTAGTCTAGTGAATTTGATATTATGTGACTGAACCACTCGGCGTAGGAGGGGGTGGCGAAGTGACCGCTTAAATCATCATCATGCGTGCAGCTATCGTATCTTCAGAAGTTAGTACGTAAACATGGTTGTGCGCGTGCGCGTGCGCAGGGTGCAGTGGCAGTGCGCGCCGTGCGAGGCGGCGCTGGGCGCGTGGGGCGGCGCCGCGGCCGCGCTCGGCGCGCTCACCGACGCCGACGGGGACCCGCCCGAGCACCTGCACTGGCCTGAGCCCGCAGAGGTGAGCGCGACACACACACACACCACATCCACCATCCATCACACAACGAAAACTGATCCGACAGTTTATTATTTATCTACATTCGACCTCATAGAGGAGAGGCCTATGTCCAGCAGTGGACTGCGATAGGCTGATGATGTTGATGATGATGATGACCTCATAGAAATGTCAAACTTGACGTACAAACAGGGATGAGAATGCGAATTACGTTTCTTAGTAAGATAATCATTGTGGATTACATAGAAGACAAGAATGCTTTGGATTAATTTAGCTCAGGCTATTTCTTCAGTGCAAATTGATTTTTTCCACTTTATATGTTTTGCCTCACTTTTTTTTAAATCTTGTTTTCTCTTAATTGCATTTTTACCTTTTAGTCCTTAATAACTGACATAGTGGCACGCATCAAAACAATGTTGTAGTAATGATGCCATTGTATCTACCTGTTAATTGAAAAGAGTTACTTTGAGTTTATTTGCCCTTTCTTCTCATAAGGCTCAATCCCTTGAAAACGGGCGGTTATAAATCTTGACAGACATATAATATATTTTCGATACGTATATATTTATTTTGCTAAATATTTGACAAAACAGAGATTGTTGCTACTGTATGTGTTGATCTATGACTTTAGAATCAAGAAACGATTGTAAACAATATTTTAAGTTTGAGTTTAAAACTAACAAAATATTATTTCTCATATTTTTTAAATTTCTGTCACAATGGAAAATAATAAATAGTACAGTTACAGTCAACATTAGATGTTTAATACTTTACTACGAGATCAGAACTGAATTTTTATTACAAGAAAATTGCTGCTATTTTGTAAATATTAATTCCAGATAAATTACAAATATTGTGTTGTCGTTAAAGATGGAGGAGCTATCGAGCACGCCCCCCGCGCCCGCCCCCGCGCCGCCCCCCTCGCTCATGACGTCAGCGGCCGCGTCACTCGCCACCATGTGGCGCGTGTTCACCAAGTGACGGGGAGGGGGAGAGGGGGGGGGCCTGGGACATCGCGTGCTGACTCATGACCATCTTCTATTGATGTACAAATCGACACGTGTTCGGAACTGTTTGTGCGGTAAAATTTTAAAATAGAACAAATATAAAAACCGTTTTATTAAATTCCAAATTATACAATAGATATATATATATACATATATATGATATTTTTAACCGACTTCAAAACAGATATTTTTTCATGTTTTTTATACCAAAACTCCATTATTTACAAACGGATTTGAAAATTCTTTTGTTATTTGACCAACTGAATTCAATAAAAGTAAGAATGGAAAATTAAGAAATCAAGTATACAGATTATCATAATTCTTCATGATATAAACGCACCCAAATCAACGATATTTTTTAATAATTAATTACATAAATAATGTCGTAGACACACTAAATATCTCATCACAGAACCATTCAATGGCCATTGCAAGTCAACCTTTACCATAACAACCTCTAAAATATTAGTATTACGTCACAAACTTAAAACAAACAAACTAGTCCAAATTAAATTTATATGTATACATTGTTGAAACTTACTAAGATTCATAATAACCAATTGCACGGCTGGCGTAGTGGTTTAAGCGATCGCCACGCCGCTTCCTACTATGCTGAGTGTTGTGGGTTCAAACCGCACATAGGACGATACTTTGTGTGATCCACAAATTGTTGTTCTGAGTCTGGGTGTTCTTTGTGTCCGTTTTATGTATGTTTGTAAAGTCCCTCGCGACACAGGATTTATTCCTAATGCGGGATTTGTCTTTAATTCATTAATTCATAATAATCTTCACACATCTTGCACACGGCATTCTAATCCCAAACTAGACAGAGCCTGTATTATGGTAATTAGATAGCTGATAAACATACTTATATATTTCTAAACATATAACATAGAACAAATGATCATGCTCCTCGCATAATTATTTGTCCTGGATGGGAATATAACCCACGACCTCCGGCTTAGCAGTCAGGGTCAGTCAGTTAATTAATGTGTTTGTTTTAGCAACGATAGCGTAGTGACTTAAGGGTCGGACTAGCAATCTTCTGGTTGCGAATTCGAACCTCACCTGAACCAACACAACCATTTGGTTTACCTAGAGAGTCTAATAAGGGTACTAGTAATTTACAACCCACTGTTACTAGTATTCTTTAATAAAAAAAATCTTATGTAATTTTTACATAGCATAGTTTTATTTAAAAAACCCCAAATAATAATTTCAATGTTACATTATTAAATAAGAAATTAAAATTTTATTGTGATTATTTGATACTGTGAAAATAGTTTTGCTGTGACATTCTGATTTAATTAAATTAAAAAGACATTGTACACTGTAGATATACAGATACTCAACTCATAACCACAATAGTACTCGTAAAGTTTCGTTTCTGTAATTCATATGTTAGAGGGGGCAGACGAACAGACGGGTCACCTGATGGAAAGTGACCATCGCCGTCCATGAACGTCTCAGGAGTCACAAACGCGTTGCCGGCCTTTTAGCAAGGAGTACGCTCTTTTCTTGAAGGTTTGAAGGTCGTATCGGTCCGGAAATACCGCAGATGATTAATTGTTTGTGTGAGGCAATGAATTCAATGGCATCTGCGCACTGAAAGACAGACACCCATGTCTCTCTCAATAAATTTAGAAGGACAATAGTGGAAACCATCATCATCATCATCATCAACAGCCTTTACTAGTCCACTGCTGGACATAGGCCTCTCCTTAGAAAGGAGGTTTTGGCCTACTATACCACGCTGGCCAGACGGGTTGGTATAGGGTTTGTGTCAAGTTTTCCTTCTCTGTGCAGTGCTGTTGTTCTGCGTAGTTTGCTCCCTTAGTCGCCTGTACGACGACGGGTGCCGTACGACACCCACGGGATGAATAGGGGTGGTGACACTCTGTATTCTTAATCCGTCACCACACGGAAAGTGTGGTGACGGATTAAGAATAGTGGAAACTCCAAACCAATGTTAACGTCTGATTTTATTTTTTGTTATTTCACACGGTCTTTTCTTAAAGGTTTGAAGGTCGTATCGGTCCGGAAAATAAGTACATGTGTACACAAAATAAGTGGGTAATGGGAGTCACTTAAGCAATAATGTATCCAAAACACAAGTCTTTGTAGTAATATTTATTAATACAAGTTTTTAACATAGTTTACTTAATCAACTATCACTCTGACGAGTTTCATTCACTTTGGTTACGAACTTTCGTAATTATAAGACTTATAGAAAAAAATCACTTTGATCACCACACGTGCGGGTAATTGTGGTCACGCATTGGGTAATGGGAATCAACAGATCCTAACAGTTGTCGCACATATATCCTTCTGCTGAATCCCATCCGGTGCAGTCTGCGTGTGCCCATAGCCCACATACCGTGCATCTGTACCAGATCTCGTTGTTGCGCCCGAACTCGGTACAAATAAGGCAGGTATTAGTACCAATGCCATCTATATTTTCCAGGTCATCATCTTCAAAGTCGTCACAAATGTTATGGAAACTTGAATCTGACTCGGAGATCGATTGGATGTCTTGTAAAACACGTCTTTTAGCCTTGTTTTTCACGATCTTGCATTGTGTTATGCGTTTCTTTGCTTTCGCAGTAGTTTTTTTGTCTTCTATTTTTCTCTTGCATTCTTTTGTCTTCTTACCTTTAGTTTTGTATTTCTCTAGTTTTGTTCTCTTCTCTTTCTAGACTATCTTTTAATGGTGTATACGTTAACACTTGCATGTTGCTTAATTGCACCTTTTCTCGTTTTGACACATCCTGTTTGTTCAGGAATTGGAAGCAATCTTTCAAAGGCTGTGTGTGAGAATACAATATTTTTTTGAGCAAGGATCGGCGATAGCAAAACAGAGCTAGTGGATGCGATTGGAGGTGTTAACAATTGTAGAATGGTTTGAGATACTGGAGTGGCTGATGCAAAGAAGGAACTATAATTTGCAATTAGGGATGGTGAAGTTTGTTCAACGACTTTAGGTGGAGTGGCAAATGGCGCAGCTGGAGTATATGCTGGAGCAGTGTTCAAAGCCCTCAAACTGGCAGAAGCAAGCGTGGGGACCGATACCGCAGGGTCCATCTGTGGTGGACTTGGCATAGCCAAAGAGCTTGGAGATGCAAGCATGGGTACAGTAGCAATAGAGTCTGTAGTGTTTGTAAGTATTTCAGCAGGTAAAAAGTCGTCGTCGCAAAAAACGCCAGGGTTGACTGGAAATATACATGTTTATCGAAATCCAGACACTCCTTTGTTAATAGATGCCACAGCTTCATAAGCTTTGTTTGATAGCGCTGCCACATCATAAGGTGTAATTTTTTCTGCAAGCCGAGATTTTAAAAATAAATCACACTCTCTTGTAAGCAACTTTAAAAGGCCCAAAAAATGTGACATCAAGCGGCTGCATGCGGTGTGATGTGTGCGGAGGTAGTGAAAGCATATGTATGTTATTTTGTTTGCAGTGCTCAAAGATTTGTAGTGACATATGGCTGGCATTGGATTATCCAGTATCAGTAGAATGGGTTGTTCAGGTGACGGCTTAGTATGCGCAGTGAAATGTTGTAGCCATTCAGAAAACAAATTCTCGTTTATCCATCCATTGTCAGAACATTTGTAGATTGCACCGGCTGGACCATCTTTCTCCATCTGTGCAGACATTCTCTTCCTTGGAAAAATATACATTGGTGGAACGAATCCACCGGCAGCACTCATTGCACACAACATTGTTATGTTTTTGCCTCGTTCCCAACTGGTGATAGATCCAACTCTTTTCACACCTTTAGGGGCTAAGATTTTTCCAGGATCCTGGACTGTCGAGATACCAGTCTCGTCACAGTTGTTTATGTTTTGTGGTATAAACTTGTGTTTGTCCATCAATTCTTCCAGAAAGCTATAAAACAATTCAACTTCCCGCCTATTAAAAGCAGTGATTCGGTTGATGCTGGTAGCCTCAGGCTTGCGAATAGAGATATTGTTTCTTTTCAGAAATCCTTCAAGCCAGTCACGACCTGCCATTTTTGCATTTTTGTCAAAATTGTTTTTAATTCCATGGTCTTCTGCGTATTGGAAGGCCATCTTTCTGACTTGAATAGCAGTGCATCCGTAAAAAGCTTTTGCCATTAATTTAACTCGGTTTGCCAGGTCCTCTTCCACTTGTTTGCTAAATACTGTTTGACGCCCAAGACGTGGTTCCGAGGAATCTTTTTTTTTAGCGCTTCTGAAGGCTGGAAAATGGTATATCCATACATTTGGCAGCTTGTCTTATATATGAACCTCTATTTATGAGATCTTCCGCTTTGGATAGTGTATCTGAACACCACTGGACTTTATTGGTACTCCTGGGACGTGATTTTGGCATCTGCAAAACAGACAATATAATATAAATAAACTGTAAAAAATCGAATCATGTGAACGCCATAATTATTGCGGGTAATGAGAATCACTGCGGAAAATGGGAGTCACCGCGACTCTCATTACCCTAATCTGACAACTTGAAAAAAATAGGTTATAAAACAATAGTTTAAAAATTTGACAATTCGTATGTATCACAAAACCAGTCTCAAATGACCTAACTACAGTATGAAATGAATAAATAGTTGAAATGTAAAACAGAAATTGACTTACCGTTTATTTTGTGCACACGAAAAATTATAAGAAAATGGCACAAAACACTCACATGGCCGTATCTTCCGAGCGCTCGGCGCTAACAAAGCACGCGTTGGTGCGGGGCCTGTATGAGGTGAAATGACTTTGGATACGCGGCGTTTGCAACTGAGCGCATTTTGTTTCTCGAGTTATTGTAGTGACCACGACTGCCCACTGACTCCCATAACCCACTTCTCCCCTACATTTTTACATAGGTACATATCTGGGGGTACGGCAGTGCCCCCGCCAAGGCGAGCCAAGCGAAGCGTAAGGGTTATATCTACCCTTTTCGCGAAGCGATTCGTCGTTTTGTTTCGTTTTTTTTCGATTCGTTTCGTCGGGTTTAGATTATACCAGATAAACAAACTTATTAAACATACAAGGTTTTAATTGCATTGGTGTTACAGAAAAGTATAGTCTTTTACCAACTAGTAGGTAGTCTGAGAACAAAAACAATCTTAAAAGCTTTTTTAGAATAGTTTCTATAAGACATATTAAGATTTTGTTGTCAATTTGTTATTATTTTATTCCCGAACTATTACAATAAAACTGGGCATTCTGTCACCAGTCTTGATACGAAATACCCAGTTTTGTTCATGTAACACACCTCCATTTTAAAATATTAAAGTAATATATTAAAGTCAGTATGAAAAATCATGAATTAACTACTGACTAAAATGTTAATTTTTATGGGGTGGATACGACCCTAAACTTTTACCTATGTACTAGTCTGTATATGAAAGTATCAAATATAAAAGTTAACGAAAATTTAAGAGACTTAATTTGACCTAAGTAAGATACGGCAAGGGATTTAGGGGACTACAGTTAAGTCCTTCGACTTGGCGGGGACACCCACTCGTTTGTCTGACTTGTGGTAGGCGAGGCAACTAGGTCAGAGCCATCGACTGGCCATAATATTAAATACAACACCCTGACTGATGGTGATTTATATTTTATATACCCAGTGCACCTCAAAAGTCAAAATTTATCAAGCCGTTTGGAATTTAGAGCGTGCCAGCAAAACATACACACATACATATCTCATCATCATTAACAGCCGATAATAGTCCACTGCTGGACATAGACCTCTCCCTAAAAAGGCAGACCACGCTGGCCAGACGGGTTGGTAAAGGTTATGTGTCAAGTTTCCCTTCTCTTTGCAGTGTTGTTGTCCTGCGTATTTTGCACACATTATCCACCTTTTCCAAAAATATATTTGGGGACGGCACAATGCGTTGTCTTCTTCCACTCTCCTCTATCACTCGTCAATTCACAGCTTACTCCCTTTCTAGTACTCTCTTTCCATATCCTCTTTAACGCAGTCCATCCATCTTTTCTTTGGTCGTCCTTTACTTCTGTCCTTCAACTGGCTTCACTACAATTTATTCATCTCATCGCCATCACATGTCCATGCCTCCACTATGAGGCTTCGCCTTATGTAGTCATTCCTCACCTTGTCCATTCTAGTCACACCACACCCATCTTAACATTCGCATTTCAGATGTATGCTCTCTCATCCGTTTTCTTTGTACATACACATACACACACTCGAAAAACACAAATAAATCATTATTATAATGTAAGAAAATGTATAATTAGAGGACGACCACTTACCTTGCCGAATATTATTTTTATTCTTATCGTAATTAATAAAATAATGCACTAATTAATTTTTAATGATTTTTATACTTTTTTATTCCTTTGAAACATGTGACGTATTAAAGTTAAATTAATTAATAACTTGTATTTTTTTTTCATTTTTGTGAGAGCAATTTTAAATGTTATAAATTTAATTTTAAAATTATACTAGCAATATTGTCGATTAATTAAAGAGTGAACATCCTTACATTATATTCTATACTCGAGTGAAAAGTGCGATCAGTGATGTACTAAATCCTCAAAGATGAATATCCGCTGCTCAGTCAATGTTTATACGCGTGACCTTAAAAAATTCGTTCAAGATCCAAAAATCCGCCGAAAAGAAACGGACGCGGATCTTTTTCTCCCTTGGATATGGCTACGGCACTTCACTAATTGCGATAAATAATAGAACTACTTGCAACCCAGCTCCCAGTGCAGTCTTATGTAACAGGTATGGTACCTATACCTATACTCAGTATTGTAATAAGTACAACAATCATTGTTAGCTTTGTACACTACACTAGAAACGTTACAAGTAAGTTAGTACACTGTTTCATATAAATGTTACTTAAATATTACATTTAAGAAAACGCGAACTCATGTATTAGAAGGTTGTAATGTTTGTTTTATATTTTGTGCATCAATGACATGAAAAAATAAATTTACTTTTTGTAATCTTTTTTTTATTTCGCCTGATATTTTGATAAAAAAACAGATTATGTTATTAAGTTATTTCTACACTGACCAGACAGTCTAGTACCGAGTCGAGTCGAGTCAGTTTCCAGTCCTAGTTCTAATAGTATGGAAAGTTCATAGTGTGTTATGGGCCGTTTACACGCATGGCGAGCTTCGACAAGTGTCCAAACACAAGCGTGTGAACGGGGTGTTTGGTTCGGCTCGCGTGTGCTCGTCGTCGATCGGTACTAGTGTCGGTTTTTGAACACAGATCAAAGAAAGTACGCGGCGAGGGTTTTCGACGTATTTACACGTTAGCGCGTGCTTGTTCCCTACTGCTCCAATTCAATAAGTCAATAAGTTCCAATTCTCTACTGATTGAGCATTAGGGCTAGAGGTTTTTTTTGTTTAGTGCCGCCGTTTATATGTCCACGTCTGCTATGTTTGCCTGTCCGGAACACAATAGCACATTCGCATGCGTGTAAATGGCATCCAAGCCTCGTTATGAATGTAACCTAGACATTATGTGGAGCATTGTCAGAAACTAGATGACTAGAAAAATCTTTTTTTATTATTTTATTGTATAAGGGGTCAAACGAGCAGACGGGTCACCTGATGGTAAGCAACTACCCCCCATGAACACCTGCAACTCAAAAGTCACAAGTGCGTTGCCGCCCTTGGGAGTCCCTCCCGCTCGAGTCAGCGGGAGTAGGGATTTTGGCTCCGGTAACCTCACTCACTCAGTAGGCAACGAAAGAATTGCTTAACACCGGTTTTCTGTGAGGCCGTGGTATCACTCAGGTCGAGCCGGCCCATTTGTGACGAATCATGGCTTTCCCACGGTAAAAGTCTACGAAGTTCTCCATCATTTAGAATTCCTTAAAAAACAATCTTATGTTTTATAAATCCCTATTTACATTAGCTCAACTAAAGCTTATGTTCGTTAAGAATCTATAGGGAGATGTGTTGTCCGTGTGGTGATGGATTAAGAATATGGAGTGTCACCACCTCTGTTCATCCCGTGGATGTCGTAAGAGCCGATTAAGGGAGCAAACAGGCCAGGTGGAGTGACGATTTGCACAAGATGGCTGGCAGGAGCTGGATGCGAGAAGCCAAAAATCGATCTAAGTGGCGTGCAATGGGAAAGGCCTATGTCTAGTAGTGGACTGCGATAGGCTGATGATGATGATGAAAGGAGCAAACTATGCCGGACAACAGTACTGCAAAGAGAAGGTAAACTTGAAACAAACTATACGAATTCGTCTGGCCAGCATTGTACAGTAGGCCATAATCTCCTTTCTAAGGAGAAGCCATGTCCAGCAGTAGACCATTAAAGACTGTTGATGATGATGTTGAGGAATATGTGATACATGTTTTTTTCTTTATAAGACTGTAGAGTGTAGAGATTATATATTGGCTTAAGAGGAGAAAGTGGTATATTTTATAAAAATCGTATAGTTGCGACTCGCCAGTACAAAAGAGGAACCATCTTCAACACACCAATGAGGTTGGTATGCTACGTAATCAAAAATAGTGGGTATATTATATAAGCAATCTAAGATGTTAATTATAAATAAAACATCAACATAACAGAAAAAATGTTTTAATAAATAAGTTACAAACGACTATAGACAAGACTAGGAAATAATACTGTTATTTTATTAATAATAAATGCACCAAAATGTCTTTCAATTAATACACACATGTCTAGCACTCCTGGATTCTAATCAGTATTGAAAACCTTTATTGAAGATATTAAAAAAATAATTATAAACGATTTACAAGGTCTGGAAGGCAAAGAAACTGCCAATCCAGCGTCACGACGAATACCGTTGCGGCAGGACATCTCACTCCATGGAAAAGGACCCCGTCACGGTCGAAACAATTTGGGAATTCCCGGAATCCGTTAAACCGTAATCTTTATTTTTATGTTATATCAAGTCTTGTAAGCCCAGACCGGGATAGCAAAAATAAGTATCTACTTAGCTTAGACAATGGGCCATTTTAAAAATCGAGGCCATAATAAATCATTTAAAAAAGGAATCGTGAGGTAACCTACTTTTAAATCTATGCGAATAAAAAATATAGTAGTGATTTTCCCCATTTATTGATATTTTGAATCAAAGGGCTAGTGCAAGTTTATTTTACATCCACTCGCTCTCGAAGGCGAGCGTGTTTAGCGTTGCGATTGGTGGAGATATCAGAGCGGGCCAATCGCAGCGCCGAGCGCGATCACCGTGGCGTTCGAGTAGAAGTGAAATAAACTCGCACTTGGCTCTCAGTACGTTATTTGTCCTCACATTTATTTGGCTTATCAATAACAAGATAGTTGTGAAAAAGATATGTTCAGTTTCTTGTCTGTTCTTCTCCATCTGCCACGTCTTGAAACATGCAACTAGTTTCAATACTGACTGGTTCCTACTGCGGCTGATCATTAAAAAAAAACTAATTGATTTTACAGAAATAAGTTTATAAATATCGTATTGTTTGTCTGTATTTATGTCTGTATCTTCTATGAGTTCGGACTAATATGTTATAATTTTGATCTATCAAAATGTCTGAGACTTGTTTAGATTTCAATGTTAAACATGGTCTATAAATAACGCTGATACTCCATCTAATCATTACTAACTATGAACTCAGAATCCTGGAAGTAATTTTAAACTTAAAATCATGGTCAGTTGAAGCTACGTGAGGATATTAGCGCTTTCGCTATTGTTTCTTTTATTGCTTAAAACAAACAGTCTTTCCATTTTCTGCCATAATTCGGCCTTCTTCATTTATATTTGCTAACTACCCCTTGTGGTCTCGGCGTGGTCACCGCGCGTCTGACTTGGTCCAACGTCGATACCCGTCTGCTAATGCGTCCGAGAGATTTTCCATTCGCCTGAACAACTCGTCTGTTGGCGACACGTTGCCCTATGAAATAAAAATGTCACTTAATAATTTAAAATGATAGGTTCAGATTTATAACATTATACTAAACTCATAAAGAACTAAATTTGCTGATTACTGAAAGAAAAGTAATGGTATTTTTTGGACCAACACATACTTGGTTTTAAGTATATTATATTAAGTATACTTATATCTATACTAATATTATAAAGCTGAAGAGTTTGTTTGTTTGTTTGTTTGTATGTTTGAACGCGCTAATCTCAGGAACTACTGGTCCGATTTGAAAAAATCTTTCAGTGTTAGATAGTCCATTTATCGAGGAAGGCTATAGGCTATATTTCATCACGCTAAGACCAATAGGAGCGGAGCACCAATGAAGAATGTTTCAAAAACGGAGAATATTTATTACTATTGAGAGACGCAGACGATGTTGCGCGGGTCAGCTAGTATAGTATATTTACCAAATACCAAGTGTGTGTGTATAGATACAGTATAATATGTACTATAATTTAATTATGTTCATACAATAAGAATAAGCCGGTCACGTAACAAATATTATCATATTAGGCTGACAACCTGTAACCATGGCCAGTGCAACTGGTCAAATTGTCAGGCAATTCAAAGTTAGTAATACCTGAAGGCCAATTCTCGTAATAAAAGTTGAGCCAAAATTCAGTTCCGATCAACTTTCGATCTCGCAACTGTCATAAAAGGTATTTTCGTAGTAAAATAGTAAAGTATTACTAAGACTAGCAGATTACCGATTCAATTTTCACGATACTATTTACGTTACGATAGAATTACATTACAGTCAACGTTGGATGTTTAATACTTTACTACAAAAACGCCTTTTATGACAGTTATGAGATCGAGAATTAATGATGACCGAACTTTTATTACGAGAATTGTTACTACTGTTATATTTATTTATTATGGAACGCGAAAGTTAAAAAAGTCAGTGTACCTATGCAATTCAAAATACATTGCTTTACAGACGAGTGTTTTCGATTTGTTCCATGTTTCCACTTGTTCTCGTGGGTGTAATTTGGTGAAGAGGGACGGCAGTGTATGCCAGGCCCGAAACCGAACAATAACTACACTTAAACTAAATCAAGAAGTACCATGGTACTGGTCGTGGTTGGTTCAGGCATCTCGCAATAGGAATCCCTGGGGTCTTGACTTGCGTCATGCCGTTCTGGATGTTGCTGGGTCGCTTCGCAGAACCAGCGCGTCCCTTTACAACTCTGGAAATCACATGACAGTGTAACAAACCCCTATAACATGCAACTTTTGGTGAATCGTGTAATATTTAGTCGACATCCAGTACAAATGGTTAATTCATAATAAATTAAGGTTAATAAACAGAAATAAAACCTAAAACCTTTTCTCCTTGAAAAGGTTTTAGGTTTTATTTCTGTGTATATTTCGAGAATTTCTAAGTAGATTCTAACCAGGAGAGGCCCCATTATCAAAGATTGAAGTGTCTTAAAAATACTCTCTCCGATTAAAAAATAATTATTCAAAATTGACTGATAGTTCCAGAGATAAGTGCGTTTAAATCAATAATATAGGATAAAATCTGCCTCAGCTATATTATGCTAATTGTATAAGAAAAGACTTTTCGAGAATGATTTTACAGCTATCTTACCGTAACTCCATAAGGCGGCTTTTTCCTAAACAGTCGTCTCGGTGGTGTCGGAGCTGACGAACAAGTCGCCATCTCGTTCTCATTAGTGGTTAAAAACTGTGGCCGTCCCGCTTCCAGTCGGGAACAACTGGCTCGTCTACTGGACGCCGAGCGGGGCGGCTCCTGAGCGGCGCCGGTACACAGACACGGCATGTCGTTATCGGCTCGACTTTGGAGACGATTTTGTAAGGCGGCAATAACTTCGTCCTTCTCTTTGATCGTGTTTTCTTGCTCCCTGAAAGACATGGGTGTATCGTTATCATAGGGTTCCCGGCCGAGGTATTCCGCCAGTCGCAAGTGAGGTGTACCTGCGCGCGTCCCGGGAGCGGCGCGCCCAGTGGCGCAGCGCGCACAGCACGCGCCGCACGTCGCCGCACAGCGCCGCGCCACGCGCGTGCGCCTGCTCCAGTTGCAACTGCAGTTCGGATGCGTTGTTTTCTTTTTCGCTGACAACATTATGCTTATATTGATTATAAAATATAAACTTTTAACATTGAGACACGTTCCGAAAGAAAAAAAGTGTTTTATTAATTACTGGCAGAAGTAGCCAGACGTTGGCGCGACGCTTTGCCTCACTATGCAGTACCTAAACAGTTTACAAATAAGTATTTTTTTTTAATAATTAGATGCGTAGGTATGCATCTACTACTACTATCTACTACTAATATAAAAAAAATACAATAATCGCTAGGGTAACAAAATGCATCGAGCTTCTTTAAAAAGGTTCTACTTTATACATGGCATCGATACAGAAACTTAAGAAAGAGTACCCATAGAACAAGCTCTGATCTGCTCTGCCAAACTAGGTGGCGTTGTGTGAATGTAAACAAAAAAAACTTCGGAATGAAAAATGTTCATATAGTCTATTTATTTATGAAAGCCCGTAAAAAGCATAACAACAAAATGATTTTTCTTTTCATGGCACGTCAAATATTTTAAACACAGTACCTAAACATTTTATTTCTCTTTTAATACCTATTCATTTTCCGATGTCTTTTTTCAGGTAGTACAACCAGTATTTTTTTTATATTACATCAATTTATACCTACATATTGATGTACTGATTACTGACTTTACAACGTTAGGGGGTACCTGTAACAGTCGATCGCCTGTCGCAGTTTGGTTTCGAGCTTGCGCACGCGGCGGCCGCTCGCCGCCAGCTGCTCGCGCCACTGCGCCGCCTGCGCGCTCAGCGACGACACCTCGCCTCTCAACTTGCAGTTCTGCACAGTACCTTTCTACTTTACTGGACCTACCAGGCATTAGAGGTCTTTTACACCTACACTAAGCCTCTAAAACTTTTCTTTGGCTAAAACAGCTCATCTTAAAAAGACAGTTAAACAGATTAGTCACGTGTAACTTATCAGCAATTCTTTTTACACCATGCTAAGTACCTCTAATAAAAGCTAAATACATCATCATCTTCCTACCCTTTTTCAAATTATTTTAGCAACGAGTTCGCCGCTTCCATTCTCCTTGATATATACATAAAGTCTTAACAATCTATTTACCTCTTTATATAGCTCTTCCGTTCTTTTCGCCTCATCCCTGAGTTCGTCTATCGTCTCCTGCTGCGTGTCACACTGTTGCTGCATTCGCACCAACTCCTCACTCTTGTCAGCTAGCAGCTCTAAAGTAAAGGATATTAAATAAATAAATACCTTTGTTTGGGCTTCAACGTAATAAAGAAAAATGCTCCCAAGATTTGTACAGGACTTTAATGACCAAGATAAATTGTTTTTTTTACAATTTTGTGTATGGCAATGCTCGCTCGTCGGATGTCGGAAAGAAAAGCAAAGTTGTGAGGTAGTTACAATGCATAGTGATGCGATACGAATGATAAGAATATCAAAAATACAACAAAAAATTACAATGAAAACGTAATACGGTACATACACACTTTTATCTAAACTACGGTAGTCATCAGCGCCTTCTAACGAAAAAGCCAGAACCTCTACATAACGTTGAATCCTTCATACATATACTCACTCCTTTGTCCCCGGAGGGGTCGACAGAACCCTATCAAACGCTTACATTTTACGGACTATAATATTAGTCCCACTCACGTGATAGGTGACAAACCTATAGCCATCAACGAGGCACATGCATGTCTAATAAACATACTTGTCTATTTCCAAATATACACATATTGTAGACTAGCTGACCCGCGCAACTTCGTCTGCGTCTCTCAATAGTAATAAATTTTCTCCGTTTTTGAAACATTCTTCATTGGTGCTCCGCTCCTATTGGTCTTAGCTAGATGGTATATAGCCTATAGCCTTCCTCGATAAATGGGCTATCTAACACTGAAAGAATTTTTCAAATCGGACCAGTAGTTCCTGAGATTAGCGCGTTCAAACAAACAAACTCTTCAGCTTTATAATATTAGTATAGATAAATTAACTCTTTGCAACTAAGACATCAAATGCTGGACATAGGTTCGCCACAAAAACCGGTCTTCGGACCTTCACTTCGTCGGACCACCTTATGATGGGGACCCACGCTCCGTCTTCCTCAAGTAAGAGGTCATTGTACACCCTTTCAATAATCTATGAATTACTAAACAAACCTATCCTCTAAAATGTACTTCGTCATTTTCCCCTCTTACCTTCGGTCTGTCGTAGTTGCATAGTCAACTGCTCACAGGTGATAGCTTGGTCTTTCGAGCTTTCTAACATAATTGCTAGTTCTCTTCTTACACATTTCAGCTGAAATGAAAATAATGATATACTTCGGTGATTTTATTTAGAACTGTGAAAATACTGCGAAATCCTATCGTTTTTCCCTAAGAAAGAGGCGATTGAAATGCATATAAGCTAGAAAGACACTCACTTGTTCTTCTCTAGTTTTTACTTCTTCTTTATACTTCTTTTCTAAGTTATCTTTTGTTTCACTTTTCGCTTGCAGCTGTTTTTCTAGTTCGGAATTCCTTTGCCATAACTCGGTGGTTTCGCTCTGTAAGTCAAAGTAGTGGACTAATTTAATCTAGTGTATCTACGCTTCACTTATTTAGTTCCCCCTTGGGGACCCTCGGGTCCCTTGGGTCCCTTGGGTTATTGTACTACTACTTTTAGGCACTCCAAATTGAGGTCTCTTTCTTACCTGTAACGCTTCATTTTTCTGTTTTAACCTTCTAATTTCATTTTGCAAACCACAGGTACAGGGATCCTGTAAGCAAAAAGTAATTGTTTCACAATAAGTGTGTTTACTGATTTTTTTTTTATAGAAAAATAGATATCGAAGGTACATTGATAGGTTAGTTAGTTATTGGGCAGCCGCGGTCTCCTTCTGCGAGGACGTTATGCTCCAAAAGGAGGCCGCAGAGCGGGATCGGGAGAGGGCCGATCCCGCTCGAAGGAGGCGGTGAAGGGGACGCGGCAGAGGTCACTAACTCCCCAATCGCCGCCTAAGGGTCGCTGCGGCCACATCTTGGGGCGATGTGACCGCAGGCTGTCGTCTAAGGCGGGACGCCGTTGCGCCTTTTACCCTGTAGAGCAGTGAAAGGCGCGATAGCGCCATGCCTCAGGGTGACTACGGTCACTCCGGGATGTGCCTCAGATATGAGGTACGGCAGGGAGGACTCCAGAAGTCGCCGATGCGTTCCTGGAGCTCCTCCCGACTGCCGAGGTAGGCCGCCGCGGGGTTTAGTGGGTAGACCGGTTCTCCGGGAGTCCCACACACGCCCTGCGTTTCCCCAACGGAGGGTATGGTGCGAAAAGCATTCCACGCGTGAAAAAAAAAAGGTTAGTTAGTTATATAATTACTATACAGAAAGCGACCGCGGCTTAAAGGCTGGGTAGTCGGACTTGTGATCAGATGGGTGCGGGTTTGATCCCCACCTAATGTACTACCAATGTGAAGCCACTTCCAAAACAAGCATGTTTAGCTTTAGTTGGAAAAGTTGACAGAGAATCCTAGTAATGTGTTATCCACGTTATAAGCATTCTCTTAAAAAAGCTAATTATTAAAAACTAAAATCCCGACTGCGTTCAAATGTATAGGTACCTACATTAAATTTAAAAACAGATGATGTTAATTTTTATATACCCAGTGTCACTATCACAATTAAGATAAATCTAAGGACTTCTTCCAATCCAAAATATATTCCTCCTTCTACATAAATCCTCAATAAAAACTCCATCCAATACAGTCCCACCATTGCATACAGAAAGCCTTTCCCTCTTTCCGAGGAAGGCGCGTATTGAACAAGTCACACAACCATCTCAAGGCTGCTTCTGCTGCAGTAACGGGGAAACCCACCGTTAGCCCTCGGCCCGTGCTCTGGGAGGTCGGAGATCGTACCGCTATATTAGTATGAGATTAGTAACAAGGAAAATTTAGTTTAAAAAAAAATGGCAGATGTCTGACATGTAATCAATTTTGTACAATTTTCACGTACATTGAGTAACTCCCTGAGTCTCAGTAACTGTTCCATGACCTCCTGCAGCTCCTCGTGCACCTCCGGGGCTGTCGCGAACGACTCCTCACAGCGCTCCCACATACCCTGGCGTTGAATCAAACAACGTTGGTACAAGCAAACGTTTATTTTCAGGCAGTGACAAAAATGTATACACAGATAATTTATTTTCTAATTACAATTTATGTAAAAAGTTTATACTGTACCAAAATAATATTATAGGTTAATATGTGGGTTGTAATAATTGACTGATATTCGGGAATAACGAGTTATAAGAATGACGTGGTAAAAGTGTAATTGTCTACAAAATACAATGAACATAATATAGTCAATGAAGTTCTAACGGTTTATATTTTAAAATGTCTACTTTACAGGATATCGAATTTATAGTGCCAATCAACGTGGAGCCAAATTTTGTCACAGTTCTTGAAGATGGAATGGCACATAAAGATGGAATTGCTTAAATCACTTCACTTTTTTAACAGAATGTTGCGCAATTTATGATGTCTCAGTTAAAAGTGTCAAAAATGTCATGGATATTTTTGCAAGTTACGAATTCTCAAGTAAATAAGTAAATAACGCTGTGTTGGCCACGAAGGCTTACATATGTAAATACATAATGTAAATTTTATTGATACTTCGTGTTTATTATGTGTGTATGTGTGTTTATTTCGATATTTTTTCTGATAGGTCAAAACAAAACGTTTGATTTTTAAACTTCAGTGACTGAAGTTATAAAACGCAGCGTTGAAAATTTTCGCAGGGCGTCGAGAGCGTTATAATCAAAATGGAAACCGCTAAATTAAAGCGGCAAAAAGATTTTTGTGTTTATAAATGTTAAAAGCAACGTTTTAGTATTTTGTAATTGCAACAAGCACGTTAGGACATTGATATCGTGTTAATGCATCCATATCTCCCACGTTAGTAGACCACACTTCACAAATACCGAGTCATTGTTGGTAGATGTAGGACTGCCCAAAAAATTGGATAGTTCCATCTTCAGAGTGTCCACTTCCAAAGCAATTTCCTGGAACCGAAAACGAAGAGTCAGCAAACATTTCGAGTACCAATATTGAAGGCAATAATATTATTTTATCAAATTCAAATGTCTACCTGACACTTATCTAACGACAACTTCTGCGCGTTAATAACATTCTGGAGTCTTCCGATTTGATCAGCTTTCTGTTTGTCCATGAGGCGCACGTCTAGGTATGATTTACGAAGTAAGTCTATTAAGTCCTCTTGCTTTGCAGTCTAAAAAAACAGGCACAAGAATATAAACCTTGAACCACACCAATGTATACTTAACATAGGTACAACAGTAATTTATTTAGACAATTTTTAGGGTTTCGTACCTCAAAAGGTAAAAAAGGAACCCTTATAAGATCACTTTCTTGTCCGTCTGTCCGTTTGTCACCACCAATTTTCTCAGGAGCCGGTAGACCTAGCAAGTTGAAATTTATACCAGATACTGAGGTCTATGGTCCCTATTAGGTGTATAAAAATTAAGGTCCTGAGTCAACACGATAAAAAGATATGGGCAAATTTCGATTTTCGCGAAAACTTGTAAGTACCAAAATTTACCTTAATTTTCAACTTTTTTATTTTACAGAATTTTCTCTTTACTCGTGCTGTAAGACTTTGCTTTTAACCAAAATTGTCAATTCTAGGTCAACCGGAAGTACCCTATGGGTTTTGGGTCGAAAACCTACATGATAGTTCCCGTTGACCAAGAATCACGAACTTTGGCAAAAAAAAAACGTCTTACAGCACAAATAAAGAAATAATTCCAAAAAATAAATTTTAGTACTTACAAATTTTCGCGAATATCTACGTAAAATCTGGGTAGGTACGGAACCCTCGGCGCACGAGTAAGGCTCGTACCTGACCGGTTTTTTTATTTTGCAAAATATAATAGAGAATTGACCCAATGGAATGACAGAATCATATCTGATAGAATCCCAGCTTAAACTTAAGTCCTGTAACATGACCCTTGAGATTTTTGGTTAAGAAGTTTTATAATTAACTAGCTGAGACCCGCGGTGTTACCCGCGTTTGTTGTTATAACCGCGGGCAACACCGCGGGGCAAAGCTAGTCTAAAAAAAAGTAGCCTAAGTTACTCCTTATGTCATCAGCTATCTGCCAGTGAAAGTCCCGTCGAAATCGGTCCAGCCGTTCCAGAGATTACCCGGAACAAACAGACAGACAGACAAAAATTGTAAAAAATTTTATTTTGGCATATGTACCGTGTAAACATACATATGCATTTAGTAAAAAGCGGTTATTTTAATATTACAAACAGACACTCCAGTTTTATTTATTTGTATAGGTGATAGAAATGTCACTGGCTCACCTCGTAAAAGCACTCCCTGTATAGATCTTCGATGACGCTCAAATTGCTTTGCAATGTGTTCATCATATCACTTTGCTGTTCAACCTCCTAAAACATTCTTATTCACAGCAATTTTGCACAACAATTTATACATCACAAGCATTTTAAATGTAGTGTTAATTTTAAAATAAGTTTTGCAATTTTTATCTTATTCGTAAAAATAAAGAGTTTAAAATTCGATTGGTTCAAAATTATTTAAAATCAAAAAAAATCTAAAATCATTTTAAATCATCAATCATCATCAACAGCCTATACTAGTCCACTGCTGGACATAGGCCTCTCCTTAGAAAGGAGGTTTTGGCCTACTATACCACGCTGGCCAGACGGGTTGGTATTTTAAATATTTATATTATATCTCTAATTAATTTATTTTGTCGCAAGATTCTTAATTCCTCAATTTAAATCTTTTAAACATCGAAATAACCAATTCATCAACAATAGTTTTTTTTTTTAACTTCATTTCAAATTCACGTAGTTAGGTCCTTTATCTGTTGCTCTTCAAATTTACTTGAAATCAATTAATCGTTAAAATGTGATTTTATTAATAACGAGTAATTTTCAGTCCAGGCGTCTTAAAATGTTAAATAATACTTAAAATTCACCTGACATCCAAATCTCAAAGAAAACGCATAATTAAAATTAAGTTAATGTAATTTTAAATTAATTTTTGTAAGCAAAAATCGCTTGTGTCCAAGTCAAGTGTATGCTAATATTTACTAGTAAAACCTATGATGTGCCATTACATAGCCTTTAATAGTAACATACATAAAACTGTAATCGATTAGTAGATACTAAGAAATTATATCGAAATATCTTAAGGATCAGATATTTTAGTAATCGATTTCTTTGACCCCATCGCTATATTTCAATCTGTCACAACTGTCAAACGGTACCTCTTAGATTAGATGGACCATAAATATTTATTTCATTATCAGGCTATGGCCGTCAACTGCTGAACAAAAGCCTCCTTCAAGGAGCGCCAACTATCCCGGTCTTAAAATTGACGTAACCAAATTAAAATTTATCGATAAAAGAAAAACTCTAACCGAATCTCCTCTGGCCGTAACGGACACATCCGCCTTCTCAACTTTGCAGCATTCTAGTGTCTGCCGTAGAGTAAGCATCTGTCAACATGGAAAAAAAATACACACAGTTCAAGAAACAGTATCTTTGTGCTACCCTAAAATAGTATTAAAGGTTTTATGTGAATGAGGGAATGCTCGCTCACAGCAAGCTTATCCGTACATACATTCACAATGCAATGCAGCAGATGGGCCGTGTGCTTTATAATTTAAATGAAACATATAAGTTGGTGTGTTTCACTTTCTTGTATGACTGCTTAGGAAATAAATTCTTTTGTATAAATATGTATGTCGAATGGATGCATTACTTGCGTGCGAACCGTACACCAATACCGTTATATGAAAACAATCTACAGCGAACTTTTAAAAAGATCAATCCCATACCTCCAGCACTGCAACTCCTGTACACTAGAATCAACAGCAGGGACCCACAAACACACCGAGTTATAACACTCAGGTAGTCCCAAGAAAAAAATAAACTTTCTTAAAACCCGCAACGAAATTAATCTGAAGAAAATTAGAGGAGTTGGAAATATAATAAATCCAGTTTCCTCCTTAGTAAAGTGGGAGACAAAATGAAGTTTATGAAAAAAATCGACTAAAAAATAATCAAACAACAACGCCCTACCTAAATACACTAAAAGTGAAAAATAAGCTGAATGGTTTATTTATTCAAAAACGTGAGACTTGCGAACAAATTACATCAAAAACTTTACTTTTTAACTATAACTTACCTATTCTCAAGAAAATTTTAAATGAACCCACATATATACAATATTTTACTTAGCAATCAATTTATGTATTTAAAAATTACAGTGATTTATTTACAAAATTACTATGTACAATAATATTTTATTTAAGTTAATAGGTAATTAGATTTAGACAAGAATTGTCACACAGTACATTTGTAAATAAACCATTGTAATTTTTGAATACAGATAGCTTGATTGCTAAGTAAAATAATATTGTATATAGGTTCATTTAGAATTTTATTGAGAACTAGCTGATCCGCGCAACTTCGTCTGCGTCTCTCAATAGTAATAAATTTTCTCCGTTTTTTGAAACATTCTTCATTGGTGCTCCGCTCCTATTGGTCTTAGCGTGATGATATATAGCCTATAGCCTTCCTCGACAAATGGGCTATCTAACATTGAAAGAATTTTTCAAATCGGACCAGTAGTTCCTGAGATTAGCGCGTTCAAACAAACAAACAAACAAACAAACAAACAAACTCTTCAGCTTTATAATATTAGTATAGATAGGTCGCAAGTTTTTGGATAAATAAACAATTCAGTGTACCTACCTAAAAACAGTGTTTTAGGTAGGGCGTGGTTGAGGGCTGGGGCGCAGTGGTCTCTTTCTGTGAAGCTGTAATGCTCCAGAAAGAGACCGCTGAACGGGATCGGGAGAGGGCCGATCCCGAGCGAAGAAGACGTCGACGACGTAATGAACAGCCGACGGGACCGCGGTCCGCCAGAGAGTGGGGACCTCTGGTGGCAGATTAATTGCTGCGGTAGGGGAAAGGATGGCAGCCTGATCGCACTGAAAATGTGATCGGGCTGCAACATCTGGATAGGCTGAGAGGCAGGGAGAAGCCACTGGCTTTCCCTGAGATGGGACCTAGATAGGTGCGGCGTCGATCTGGGGGACCTGAAATCACATGGCCCGGGTTTTCCCCAGAGCAGGGCGCCTAAGGCTGGCCGTCGGTGTGGTTTTTAGTGGAATCACCACATACTCCTGGCTCCTATATCCTCAAGGAGCCGGCGATCTGATGGGATTTTCCACTCCGTCAACAAAAAAAAAAAAAAGTAGGGCGTGGTTGTTTAATGTTTTTTTGAAGTCTGTTTTTTATAAAATTGTTTATTTTCCATTTTTAGTTAAATAATCATTGGTACGTAGTATGTTGAACTACTTCATACAAGTTGCGAGAGGAAAACCACCACCTTCAAATGTCATTCCTGCTGATGCTAATAACTGTGGTAGTTTGATGCATGTATTGAAACTGGGCATAAAGAAAGAACCATCCTGTAACTCCTTACCGTTAAGGAGTTTCAACTTCCATCATCAGCTCACCTGAATAACTTGAATAAATACAACTAAAAGTCTATGCATACATGGTATTTGAAGAACTATCCTTTAACTCCTAACCGTTAAGAAGTTGTAAATTCCATCGCCAGCTCATCAACACAATATGATGACTACCAGGCTCAAATACTACAATAGCTTTAGAAAATATATGAAACCCATAATGCGTGCTTATAAAATTTAAGGGTTGCCCTCGATTTCCCTGGGATCCCATCATCGGATCCTGACTTCGTAACAATGCAACGCCCCTCTTACCTACCTATACCCTTACCTATACCCTTTCTATCAAAAAAAGAATTTTGAAAATCGGTGTATAATTGACTGACGGTGTATAATTGAATCAGTGAAAAAAAATACAGTGAAACATAGATCCCCTCCTTTTTGAAGTCGGTTAAAAATAGGCATACACCCTCTTAAACAGGGAACCACCACAGACACAAAATACTATGGGTCCTGAATGAGCTATATTTAATTTCTGTGTAGTAGAATCGTATTAGTTGTCAGTAGTTAAATTTTCACAGGTGTATTTTTACATTTAAATTAAGTACACGAAAACAAACTGTAGGCATATGCTCTGACTCCTGAGCGAATCCGAACGGGTAGCCTTATAATGTAATAAAACCAAATAACATTCTAATACTAAACTCAAGGTATAAACATTAATAAACTTTCTAGACGGAAACGTGAAACCAAAAAAGAATTCTTTCTAAATTTAGCTTCACGATTACAAAAAAATAACGACACCATCTGTTTACACTGGAGAGGCAAAAAACAAGAGTATTGGTAAATAAAAAATCTTACCATGAACCCGTAATAATTTTGTCTTTCAGTGGCCAAAATCTTTTCTACATTTGCAGCAAAAGCATATTTCCTTTATTCGTTCGAATAAAATATTTAGAGAGCAGATCGCTTTCCATTTTGTGTGGGACGAGGGTCCCAAGCGATTAGAATGGTGGCGTGATGGTTTAAAGTGTTACCTCTTTAGATTTTCGTTCAAGATCTCGCCTCAACTCGGCAGCGCGTTCTGTCAGCGCTGATATTCTTTCCTCAGCCACAGCTAGGCTTTCTGCTTGTACTCGTATCGTCTCTTCTCTGTTTTGCAACTGTAGAATTATATAGAAAATATTGATCATGCATACTAACACGTGGGGAGAATTCTTTGTAAACATTTTAAACAGGACAGGAATTTAATATTTGGAATACTTTTTTTGACATAATATGTCATATTTACAAACAAATAAACTTTATATGTAGAAGTCCAGAACGTTATTTTTTTTAAGCAATAATTGCTTATACATTATGACGTAGGTATAGTATAATATAAATTATGTAAAAATGGCCATATAAAGCTATATTATAGCGTCCAATATATGCTTTGATCCATCATGTTACAAGAGACTATACAGTAAAAGTTCTATCCTTGGTCCGTGTAGTGACGGATTAAGAATAAAGAGTGTCACCACCCCTATTCTTCCCGTGAGTGTCGTAAGAACCGACTAAGGGAGAAAACTACTCAGAACAACAGCACTGCAGAAAGAAGGAAAACTTGACACAAACCCTACACCCGTCTGGCCAGCGTGGTATAGTAGGCCAAAACCTCCTTTCTAAGGAGAGGCTTATGTCCAGCAGTGGACTATTAAACTATACCACGCTGGCTAGACGGGTTGGTATAGGGTTTGTTTCAAGTTTTCCTTCTCTTTGCAGTGCTGTTGTCCTGCGTAGTCGGCTCTTACAACACCCACGGGATGAATAGGGGTGGTGACATTCCGTATTCTTAATTCGTCATCACACAGATAATTTGTATAGTAAAACAAAGAATAATTTACTCACGATCTGTAGGGTAGAGACTAGTTTGTTATGATAGTACGAAGCCTGTGCGTTCGCTTCGCACGACCCAGTCGCACTGTCCATGAGACTGCAAGCTCCGCTGCTGTCCTGTGAAACAATACCAATATAAACATTATTTCTTCTACAAAATAGAAAAAACTACAGCTTTGCCTACCTGCTTCAAAATATAATTAAATTTCTCAATTCTTTTTAACTCTACTAATTTAATTGTTATATGCAGAGGGTTTCGGAATAAAGATATTCCATCAACTTCTTTGTTGTCACATTCCCAAAATTCCGTTCACGCAAAGTCTCTATCATAGAAAATATTAGCTTTATCAGTCAATTTCCGACTTCAATTTCATAATATTTCTGTAGTAAATTAAAAGAAAACCAGGAAATTCTCTAAAATTATTACATATTGCTGTATATCACGTTATGTACATATGTAAGTTCTGTTACAACCTATAAACATCCTTTTTTTTTTGTTGACAGGGTGGAAAATCCCTTCGGATCTCCTGCTCCTCGGAGACTCAGAAGTCCGGAGTATGAGGTGATTCCACTAAAAACCACCCCGACGGCTAGCCTCAGGTGTCCTACTCTGGGGAGGACCCGGACCATGTTATTTCAGGTCCTCCACGAATTGACACCATGCCTAATCCGGCCCTATCCCAGGGAGAACACTTTCCCCCTCAATAATATAATAATAAATATATATATATATTCTACAACATACACACAACGCCATCTAGTCCCAAACTAAGCAGAGCTTGTACTATGGGTACTAGACAACTGATATAAATACATATATACATTTTTTTGGAAATACATACATATCATACATATAAACACCCAGACCAAATCAAACATCAAATGTTCATGCACACAAATGTTTGACTTGAGGGGGAATCGAACCCGCGACCTTTGGAATAGCAGTCCGTTACACAAACCACTACGCCATCCAGTCGTCATTTCACTAGTCAAGCCAGTAGGCTTCATATCAAAATCAATTGCGTCAAAGATTATCCTCTAAAAGCCTCTGACGTCGACCAACATTCTGATAACCATCCCAGAGTTGATACACTACTGTCTGAACGTTGTCGACAAGAGCTTTCACTAAATCATTCCACGCGTTTATTAGCGCCGTATGGGATCTTTCTAACTGCAGTAATTCACAATTTACTTGTAAATACCTCAACACTGGAGTTAGTAAACGGCCTGTGAAGTATTTATCGCTGGCGATATGATACTATCAAGAAATAAATATCAACAGGTCCAAGTTTATTGGTTATAAATCTGGACTTCGATTTTTGGCACAATATTATAAAAACACACGTGAGAGAGCCTTGCTCCGTGATACCAAGCCCTCACAGAAAACCGGTGTTTAGCAATTATTTTAATGCTTTTCACCGAAGAGGTGGAGGTTACCGGTGCCCAACCCCCTCCCACCCCATAATCCGTGTTGTGACAGATTAAGAATACAGAGTGTCACTACCCCTATTCATCCCGTGGGACCAAACTACGTAGGACAACAGCACCGCAGAGAGAAGGAAAACTAGACACAAACCTTATGCCAACCCGTCTAGCCAGCGTGGTATACGAGTAGTAGGCCAAAACCTCATATAACCAGCCACCAGTAATGAGACCAACAGTGGATTATTAAAGGCTGTTGATGATTTGATTTGAACCCTCCAATATGTCCGAATTTTAAATACTCTTTTAATAATCCTCATAAATAATCTTTGATGTAATTCTGTTAGCTCAGAACCTTCTGTTAGCTCATAAACACAAACTCTAGTTTAAGGATTTGAACCGTCTAGCAACAGCGAGTTTAGCTTAAGCCTGCTAGAGTTTACACTCCCTAATTCATCCATATTTAGTAATATCCGTTTCTTATCTCCGCCTTTCCCGTCTTACCTACATATCCTTTCAATGTACTCAGAACCATCGCATGTAATTCCTTTATGCAAGTGAAACTAAACTAAGACCGTAAAATGTAGGTACCGTCTGTCTACACCTGCGAAAATATAGACTGTGGATTTTTATTTATTGGCTTTTTAAAAGACAACTCCCGCACTAGGAATATATCCTGTGTCGCGGGGGACTTTACAAACATACGGACACAAAGAACACCCAGACTCAGAACGATTTGTGGATCAAACAAAGTGTCGTCCCATGTGGGGATCTGACCCACGACACTCAGCGTAGTAGTAAGCGGCGTGGCGACCGCTTAAGCCACTACACCATCTGTGCAGTCGTACAGAATGTACGTATGTACATATGTGTGCAAGCTCACTCCCCTACTGAACCACTCTAATTTAACTCTTCGTTCAAGTATTGTATACAACGTCAATAAAATACCCATTAGGATTAAGTCAGCACTCAACCGCCGGTTTGATCTCCAGACTAATATTTATGTTGTATAGTAGTTTATTATCATTTTGAGTGCATCGTTGGTTAAAAGCTAAAATATTTTAATTCAGGTTGAGATAAAAATGATCAAAGGTTAGTTTGGCACTCAGCGGTTAATGAAAACATCTATATATGGCAATACAAACACCATTTGAAAAACACAGATGGTCGCCCGATCATCTTTAAAGAAATAAACAACAATAACTCCTTTAAATACCAAATATAATACAAGCAGAAGTAAAGCGCTGTATAAATTATCACATGGAAATAAAATTGGTGGTGCAGTGGTAGCGTATGCGACTGCTGTTCTGAGGTGTCGGGTTCGATTCCCAGGTCGGACCTAATCTTTGTATGAGTTTGGGTGTTTCTATGTATAATATGTATGTATTTACAAAGTATATACGTATTCTATTAGTCAATCTAGATTTCATAGTACAAGCTCTGCTTAGTTTGAAACTAGATGGCGTTGTGTGTAAGATGTCCGAAATATTATTATTATTATTATAAAAATGATAAAAATAAGACAGAGTAAAATACAAAAATGATGTCCTTTGTTTTTAATAATGATTGAAAAACCAAAAGGTACAGGATACACATCTGCGTAAGAGTATATATAATAGTCAACCACCCCTCCCCCCCACTACCTCGTAACACGTCAGATGTTTTCTCTATTTTTCCCCCCTATTTAAAACAAATCCTCGCTAAGCCCTGAGCAGTAAATCTCCGCACACTCCTCTACTGTTTCCTGTCTTAACGATCCCACACGTACATCATTAACACCCACAGTTCTAAAGTTGACATCAAAAAGATCAATAAAACAACTCCAGGCAGATCTATTTTGTTATTTTCTTGTATGTTATAGGCCAAGATATCTATATAGTTGTATTGGTAATATTCATATTCTATAGCAGATTTTTCAAGACACCATAATTCATTAAATACGCTAAAACATTACCCGATCTAATATACGATTAAATTCCAATACAAGGTACAAAAAATGTGTCTTCATTTGTTGTTTATGTGTTTGTAGTCACAAAAACACGAAACATAATTCGACCGTGTTGTCCAGAAATAAAATCTCCAAAAACCTGCCTAAATTAAAGTAATCACACTAAACTTTAAAAAACGATAATAATACTTATTTAACACAATGATTTTTTCATAACACAAATACGTAATTTTAAACAGTTAATTAGCTTTATAAATTTGACCAGTTTGAGAATTGAATTACTTATGTACCACACGGTTTGATTATTAAATAAACTAACTTACATTTTTCCCATCACTATTATCAGAATCCCCGCTCACCAGGAGCCCGTTGAACATCATCACAGTGTCACTACACAACATTTATAACACACGCGCATTTGTTTGTAAACGAAACAACGACACATGCGCGTGCTGCGGCTGCGCACGAGTGGATGCTGGTGCAAGCGCCGCTCACGTATATTTAGATCAAAGACGTAAATAACATTTTTGAAGGAAGCGCCGGTGGCCCACTTTTATTCTTTATTCTTATGGATAATGCCTTCTCCAGCTATTAAACAGTGTGTTATGTTTTAACGACGTGTATTTTGAGAAAACATTGTAAGTAAACCTGCATAATATATTTTTTCTTTGTTAGAAGTTTTATGTATCATATCGTCAGGGTATAAGTTATACATGTGGTGTATAATAAAAAAATTGGCTACAATTTAGCCTTTTATGATGAGTTTATATCAGCCGAGCCCGGATGTTAACAATCTGGTAATCTCTTGCATTTTCAAATACAGATAAAACATATATATATTTAAACACCAACCTAGTCCTCGGTTGGTAAATCTTGAAAATCATACTGTAATTTACTAGTTATTTTTAGCCACCACCCCTATTCATGCCGTGGGTGTCGTTAGAACCGACTAAGGGAGAAAACTACGCAGAACAACAGCCCTGCAGAGAGAAGGAAAACTTGACGCTAACCCTCGATCAATCCGTCTGGACAGCGTAGTATAGTAGGCCAAAACCTCCTATCTAAGGAGAGGCTTATGTCCAGCAGAGGACTAATAAAGGCTGTTGATATGATGTGATAAATATGACATAAACCTTTGGACTTTGGCCTGCCAAAGATTATCATGATGATGAACCGTCTAATGGAATTTTAGCTGTTGGACAGATGGTCAATATGACAATCATGATATGACGATTCGACTTCAGTTGTTGCAGATTTTAGTTTACTAATAGATGCATCAAGTACGTGGGATGTGCAAAATTACGCCATCTATTCCGACCGTAGTCCTGCTTTTTAAAAGTAGATTAAGGTCAACTCCTAATCTAACATCATGAATGTAACTGTCTACTCCTTTTTTTATTGGTACAAGCTCAAGTCTTGAAATTTAGAACGTAATAACAGAGTTTTAAAATTATACTTTTTTAACGGATTAAGAATACAAAGTGTTACCACCCCTGTTTATCCCGTGGGAGTCTTAAGAGCAGACTAAGGGAACAAATTACGCAGGACAATACTGCAAAGAGAAGGAAAACTTGAAACAAACCCTTTTTTTTTTTTTTTTTTTTTAACGTGTGGAAATCCCCTCGGACCGTCACCCCTCCGGGGTTTGCGGCGGGGTGGTGTGTCGGACTCGGACCGACTAAAACCACACGGTGTGCCACTCTGCGCCTGTAACAGGAGGGATCCGGGAACAGCTGTTGTTAAGACATCCGGACCCCTCCTAGCGCCAGCCCGCTCCTGGTGCGGGCTCCGTCTCAATGTAGATGTTCCTCTCTTTAGGCGACGTCCGGCACACGCGGACGCCGCCCCCTCGCGGCTGGCCAACTAATGCGGGTGGAGGGGAAACCCACCCCGTCCACCCGCGGCCACACTCAGGGCGGCATGAGGCTGTGATAGGCGGGCCTCCGCCGCCCGGTTCGCCGGCGGCGGATCGGGTCCGAGTGGAGGTCGTCCTCCCGGGCCCTCTCCGCCGCCTCCTTCCGCGAGATTACTACCTCGCAGAAGGTTGCGACCGCGGTAAAACAACTGTCGCTACCGGCCATGGAGCGTACTACGGCCGGTAGCGAGAGATCCACTCCGATGACTGCAGTGAGGGCCCGGCGCTGCGCCGCCCATGCGGGGCAGACCGCCAGCGTGTGCTGGGCCGAGTCCTCACTGCAGTCGCAGTGGTGGCAGGCGGGACTCAGTTCCCTCCTAGCGACCGTGTGCAGGTACTTTCCGAAGCAACCGTGCCCGGAAAGCACCTGCGTCAGTCGGAAGGAAAGGGTCCCGTGCTGCCGCCCTGCCCACTCGGCGATGACCGGCTGGAGAGCCTCCACGGCGGCGAAGCCAGCGCGTGGAGTCTCCAGCCGGAACGACCAACGAGCCATCGTGGCTCGGCGAGCGGCTTCGCGCCACTCGCGCACATCCTCGGGCGGAGGGCGAAATCCGCTCTCCGCCCGGTAGTCAGCCACTCGCCGATAAACTTCGGCGAGCACTTCCGCCTCCAAATCCCACGGGGGAGTTCCGGCCAACGCGCACGCCACATCCGTCGAAACGGTGCGGTAACCGCGTATGGCTCTGACCGCCATTACCCTCTGAGGGCGCCAGAGGCGTACCCTATTCTGGGCGGTCAGAGCCGCCGCCCACACCGGTGCACCGTACAGTGCCATTGACCGGACAACCCCCGTGTACAGCCGTCTTGTCGCGACGCTGGGTCCACCCATATTGGGCAAAAGTCGCCCTAGGGCGGACGCAGCGCCGACCAGCTTTGGAGCAAACTGTCGGAAGTGCTCGTCGAAGAGCCACCTCCCGTCGAGGATCAGGCCCAGATATTTCATCTGGGCCCGAACCGGTACGAGGACCGAGTTGACCACGATGGAGGCGCCAGGGGGTGGACCACGACGGGGCCCATGGAATAACAGGGCCTCCGTCTTATCTAGGGCCACCCGTAAGCCCAGCGCCTCAATGCGCCCGACCACCAGGGAGACTCCCCCTGTGGCCAGGCGCGCCGCCTCTTGGAAGTTTGCCCCCCGGGCTGTCACGAGGGTATCGTCTGCGTAACAGATTACACCCAGCCCGGGGGGGAAATCGGCGCGAAGGGCCCAGTCGTACCCTATGTTCCACAAGAGGGGTCCAAGAACAGACCCCTGTGGAACACCGCACGACATGGGCCGACTCCTCAAATTACCTTCTCGGTCCTCGTACACGACGGTACGCTCCTCTAAATAGTCTGCCACCAGCCGCCTCAGGTACTTTGGCACCCCATGATAGTGGAGTGCTTCCCTGATGCAGCTGAATGGCAGACTATTGAATGCGTTGGCGATGTCCAATGACACCGCCAACAGCACGCCGCCACAGCTCACGGCCTCTTCGGTCACGGCCCTCAGGCGCAACACAGCGTCGACTGTCGAACGCCCCGCCCGAAAACCAAATTGGGCGTCCGACAGATCGGGGCCCACCTCGCAGAGGTGCCGGACGATGCGGGCAGAAAGAACCCTCTCAAACAATTTGCCCGCCTCGTCCAGCAGCACGATGGGCCTATAGGCCGCGACCGAATCGGCAGGCCGTCCCGGCTTCCTCAATAGGACCAGCTTCCCGCTCTTCCAGCACTCAGGGAAGCGTCCCGACGCCAAGCTAGCGTCGAACACCTCCCCGAGGCGGTCTGCCAAGTGGTTGAGGGCCAGGGCCAGCACTCGGGCCGGTACCCCGTCTGGCCCAGGGGCGGTGTTCTTGGAACGGATCCGTAGAACAGCCGCCCCTACCTCCGAATCCCGGACGGGCGGAACATTTTCCTCCCAGTGCTCCCCGTCACCTCCGGCCAAGGAGGCCATCGCCGGGGGAGTGTGTTCCGCCCGTTGCGGGAAAAGGCCCTCAACCACTTCTCGCAGGAAGCTGGGCTGGAGAGTCTCCGTAAGGGGGGGGCCCGACGCGCGGAGCTTTTGTCGCACCGCGCGGTAAGGGCGACCCCAGGGGTCACGATTAAGACCCTCCAGCATCTCCTGTCTTTTTTCTTCTTTGGCGCGGCTAATGGCCAGCTTCAGAGTTTTCCGCGCCCGTCGGTACTCCTCATGAAGCCGGTCCTCCTCACCGTCTCCACGGTGACGCCGCCGACTGCGCGTGTAGGACCTCCGGGCACGTGTACAGGCCGCACGGAGGTCCGCCAGCTCCTGGGACCACCAGTAGACCTCCTTCCTTGGAGGCCGACGACCTCGAACGCGGGGCATGGCCGCATCGCATACATGCGTAATCGCATCGCGAAAGCGGCCAGCCCCCACGTCGACCTCCTCGGTCGGAGCCTGAGGAGACAGCCACGAGTGAATTATGGCTGCCTCCTCTAGTAGGTCCCGGTTCAGCCTGGCAACAGCCCACCGCGGAAAGCGGGATAAACGCCGCGCCACGTGACCCCTACTGGAGTCCTGGGTCCGGGAGAGCTCAAATCGGATATACAGGTGATCCGAGAGCGTCTCAACCTCTTCCAGGACACACCAGTTCCTTACTCGTGCGGCGAGGGCAGGGGTAGCGAACGAAAGGTCCACTATCGACCCCCCCTGCTGTCGCACGCACGTGTTGGTGGAGCCTCTGTTTAGAAGACAGAGGCCCACCGAAGCCGCCCACTCCTCTACGGCCTCGCCCCTGGCGTCCGTCCTGGGGGAACCCCACGCAATGGACTTTGCGTTGAAGTCCCCCAGCACAAGGACGTGCCCAGACGCTAGTCGCCGTATCGAGGTCTCCAAGCTGGTTAGGAAAACCTCGAAGTCGTTCAAACTCCGGTTGGGGGAGAAATAGACACCATATATGGTGATCCCCCCCCACTCGACGGCAACATATCCAGTGCCCTTGTCTCTTAGCGACAAGGGCGGGGAATGAGACGTCGTGGAACCGACGACTGCCACGGAGCCGTCCCAGTCACCCATCCAGTTTGGACGGGGAGGGACAGAATAGGGCTCCGCGACTACGGCAACACCTATCGACCACTGTGCCATGGTTTGCATGAAGAGATCCTGCGCCGCGGCACAGTGGTTCAGGTTCGTCTGGACCAGGAGGTTGGAGACTTGATCCATTACTGGATCGTCTCTACAACCTCCTCCATGGGCGACGACGTCGACGCACGAACTACATCGGAGGCAGCCTGGGTCGACTGGCTAACCCCCGACGTCTGCCGAGAACTGCGGGGAGGCTTGCAGCCTCTCTGCCCCATCTGGTGATTGGCGGGCTTATTGCCCGCCGCACACACTGGGCAGTGAGGGGCGGCAGAGCATTCTGCCGCCTTATGCCCCGGTTGACCGCAGCGGAAACACAGTCCGCCGCAGTCAAAACAACTGTCGCACTTGACGCGCGTGTGTCCCGATGCTAGGCATTT